GATAAAAGACCAGTTACAAAATCTACAAAACAAGCCAATCACAGAAGAAGAACGTTGGTCTTTTTGTATAATGCATCATGGTGAATTGAATATTGTTCCACATGGATTATCAAAAGGATATCCTGAATATATCGATTTTAATGTACTTCCATCACGCATAATCAAATTTGAAAAAGATCTCATTGAAATTATTAACGGAAATATTTCAAGTTACTATTGGGATATTGCATCTTCAATATATAAAGAAGTCGGATATAATAAAGCCAAGGCGCCAATGATGCTCATGAATCGATTTGAAGTTTTTCAGGTTGGTAATTATCTGTTTGAATATAAATTTTGTTTATATTTTATTAATTAGCTTTACTAATTTACAGCCAGGTTATTATGGGTTTAATGGGTTATATACTATTGTTAATACTTTAATAGAATTGTTTGTTAACTCTAATAATCTCACAAAAGACAAAACGTACCCATTAGACCCTATGGATTTTATTTACGAAGTTCTAGTACCAGAAGTAACATTACGTCTGATTCAAGAGGACCGTAATAATAGTATAACACTTGAAGATGCGAAAGAAATTTTAAATGATAGTATTGAATTTGGAGTTTATATGCATAGCAATGAAATAGATGATTGATTAATACTATTGTCTTTTAGTTGTAATAAAGACAAATTTTGAGAAAATAAGGATTAAATTTATGACATATGAATGTTGGCAATTCTTTGTTTTAAATGGCTTAATAAAAATATACAAGAAACAGTAAATAGTAAGGAAACAAAAATAACGATTAATAAGTTTAGTAATTTGAAATTATTTAGTGAATAAAGTCTCCGATATGTACAGTATGTCGAATCTATGCATGTGACCATGTGATACTATCGAATAATCAAAAATGATACATTTTTTTTCAATAATCAAAAACGATAGAATTTTTTTTTCAATAATCAAAAACGACAGAATTTTTTTTTCAATAATCAAAAATGATACATTTATTTTTTCAATAATCAAAAACGATACAACAGTTTGTACAACTAACTTCTATAATCAAAAAGCATCACCTCCTTAATCAAAAACGATATATTTGCGGTACCGACTGTAATACAGACATATCAATTTTTTTTTCTGAGGAAACGATCAGAATTGGGTAATTTGCACGTGTTTATAGATTTACGCGTGATCTTATTTTTTCGTGTTTTAGTTTTTAATCCTAAAGAATGGGGCGAAACCCAATTCTTAGAAAGAGGGGAAACCCAGATCCGAAGACTTTACGCAATCGTCTACTCGTGGAAATTATAAAAGAAAAAAATTAAATACAGAAGGTTTGATTTCCATCAATGAAAAGTCCGGAAGTCGCAATGTTATTTTTTGAAGAGCTTAAATTCAAGCACGACCAACGAATCCAAGCAGAACAAGCTCTTAAAGATGTGGTCGAAGGCCTATTAAATTAGAAAAGGAAATGAGGCAGTATGCAAAACATCTGAAGATTGTCATCAATACTGGAGTAAGCTTACTGAACATTCTGCAGAGGTATAAATATATTTAAATATTGCATAACTTTGAGAAATTTTGGAGTGGTTCCGTGTTTATTTATGATATATTTTTTAACTCTCAGCATAGGGCAAATGCAGAAAAAAGAGTTATGGAGTTTGACACTATCATCGGACAAAAATGGGTAGATGATCTTGCCCGTGAAAGCAAGAGAAGACGCCGTGAAACTAGTCCACTGGAAAAATATTCAAATTGTGATAATGTCGAAAGGTCAGTGGTAGTATAAATCAATACGATTATTTATTTATTAACTATCCATCTTATGTCTAGCTTAATAGAAGATGATGTAGGAGACGAAAACGACTATGACAAAACTGACGATGAATTTGACGAGAGGTTCTACCCGTTGTTTATAATAAATCATGTATTTATACGGTGAAATTGCTACGTGGATTGCTCCGGATTTTGAAGTATTGAAAAACAAAGAACCTAGCCTATTCATAAGTTCGTGGTGCGAAATGATATACCCATCGTCAAAATGAAGACGAAACGTATACAAATCTAATAAGAAGACCGGTCGAAAATGCGATGGGATACTTTTTGATAATAATAGCAAGATCGAAAGATTGGTGTTTGAGAATGTGTGCTCGCCAGGAAAAACAAAACCTCCAAAATATCACAGGTATGTTAAGAGATTAGATTCTTTAAAAAAGCTAAATTACTTTCTAACAAGTCGTATCTTGAAAAATTTCAGAGATCATTTCGTAACGCGGTTGATACTCTTTGTAAGAGATTCTGGACTAACAGACAAGGGGATGCAGAAATATCTAGGAAATATATCGTATTAACATATATAGTACATAGTTTAGTTTTTAGAATTGTATTGCCTTCAAAAATAAACATTTGGTGCTGACTTTCAAACAATAAACTAGAAAATCAAAGTGAATCCTGGCGAGTATGCTTGGCCGATAAAGATAAATGTCTTGCCGAAAAAATTTTCGAGCTAGAGGTGCCTCAGAAATTTGAGGACGACTGGGTAAAGTTAGCGGATATTTACAAGATGATGCTATTGATAGAAGTATGTATTATTACTTATTGTTACACAGATTTAATGAGGCTTTTCTAATTACATTATTTCAGAGAATTTTCAGACATAATGATGATGTCTATCATGATTACACGAAATCTGCCAAAAAAAAAGAATATCGTACGTGTAGCAAAAAAAATTTCAGAGGAAATGAGATATATTGCATGGGAATGTAGTTTGCTATTGCGACTTTTATTTTTTTTTCTTTACCATTGTAATCAAACTTGCTAGACAAGGATCAGTGTTTGGAATAGACTGAGAGCCTATGTGCCGGTCTCATAATGCGGTCCCCTAGCCTGGTTGTTAGATAAGGATCAGTGTTTGGAAAAGACCGAGAGCCTATGTGCCGGTCTCATAACGCGGTCCCCTAGCATTCATTGATTACTTTCATTTTTTCTTATCAGTACTTCAAATAAAAGAAAAATTTAGTTTAGTAACTAAAAATAAAATCTAGAGGTGGGTGTGTTGGAATAAATTTTATTTTTATTTTTGCTATTTTGTGATCAGTTTTGAAATTTCACGGTACAAAAACCGGGAATGATCAACTGATATAACCTAATTATTTTTATTTTTTCTGAAATTTATGATTGAGGGGCTATGGATCAGAAAAACTCATTACTCGTTTTTTTATCTACTGTTCAATCAAATTAATAAAGTTTCGCCAAGCCTTATTTTTAACTTGTGTATGTTATGTAAAATGCTATCGATAAATATGTATTATACGTCAAAAGAATTGCTAAAAACAAAGTTCGTTGGGTCCTTTTTTTTTTTATTTAATTAAATATTAGTCAATCACTGAAACTGATGAATTTCCTCTTTATACAAAAGGATTTCGTTGAGTAATAAAAACATTCAAATATTTTAAAGTAAAATGTGTAGTATGATCTCGGGAAAATAAAAATATAATAATATAATATTGCTCTACGAGTATATATATCATTGTCTATTTTTTTCTTGAAAAAATTTATCTATTATTTTTAGTGTGGATAGGATTCAGTTTTACGTAAACACTACACTGCTGCATGCAAATTCTACTGCGCCGCTGTGACAAGATGTCACAGCTAAACTGAACTGAGATAAGATAATGAACTGGTAGTAAAGATGAATTAGACAATAATAAAGATGTAGAAATTTATTAATATTTATTTGATAATACATTAAACGATAATCAATTTACATTTACTAAATATATTATACTATAAATATATTTTGTCATTTCAGATATACATTTAGGTTTCAGAATAAATTTAAGTTTAGAAATAAATTTATCAAATAGTTTTGCCTAGTATTACTATATCTAATATTAGTTTTATAAGGAAGTTTATTCTCCTAGTATTTTTAGGTAAGATTGAAATTTAATATACAATTTTAATCTTACTAACATATTAAGATTGAAAATTCTATCAATCTCAATCTCAATTACGTTTTTTGTGAAGACCCCCAACATTCAATTATAATACTAATTTTAACCAATAAAAATGCTTGATTTTGTATCATATAAGATTAGTTTATTTGTTTAATTATTTACTTTTTGCAAAATAGTATGATCTGAATTACTTATTTATAATTATATAGCTATAAGAAAAATTCTTTATATAGGTAAAGTGATCTAACTATATAAATAAATAATTCATTAATAAAACATATATAAATAGTATTGGCCATAACTAAGAATTCCAGTTTACCACAAATAGTCAATAACTAATAATGGATAGTACAGGACTTTTTAATAAATGAATTGGTAAATATAAAGATATTTTATATTTACTAAGTCTAATAAAATATGGGCAAGTACCTGCATATTTTGCAAATTTGAAAAAAAATTTGCTAATAATAGTTATTATTATATTAATATTAGGACAATATATATTTCAGTTTTTACTCTAATTTTAAAACTAAAAAACAGAAACCATTATATATAAAGTTTAAAATATTATTTAAAATTAGAGTAAATTTATTCATCGCACGTGCGATGCATCGCCACTTTCCTTTTTTGTAAATTATTTATGTTGATCAACCTGCTTATACATCGCCACCCCCCTTAAAATGGCAATGATAAACATAAAAATTTGCATCGCACGTGCGATAAATAAATTATTTCTTAAAATTAAACATAAATATTTATATTATTTAGTATAAAAAAATATAATTCTTTATATATATTAAAATATATTTTATTAATATACTTTAAATTAGATAATTTTTATAAACTTTGATTTTACTTCAAACATTAATCTATTAAGAATAAATATTTGGTACTTTATACATTTTTGAAATTTGCTCTGGTGTTGGCATTGGCACTTCACCTAAAATTTTTTATTAAAAAAAATACATATTAACAAAAATATAATATTATTAATTTAAAAAAATCATATATACATACCATAAATATCTGGAACTCCATACATCTTTATATTTTTTGTAACATCCTTATCAATAACAGGAAAAGCAGTACCAGAAACTGTATTGGTAGTAATCATTTCTTTAATTTCTTTATTCTTTTCTTTCTTTTTTCCTTGTTTTCCAGCATTTTCTGCTTCATCAGCTTTAGATGCCAAACTGCTAGCTTTACCATCAGGAATATAAATAAAACGAAGAGCTGATTCAAAAGCATCATTATCCAAAATGTAATATCCACGACGCTCAAATTGAATTATATCTCCTTTTAAAAAATAAGAATTTTTACCATTAAACCTATTTTTAGGAATAACTAATAATCAAAATAACATTTTTACTCGCTTACCTTTTTTTAACTCCTTAACATTACTATCAGCTAAAGCATTCGTTAAGAACTCACTTTTTTTAGTAACGAACTCTTCAACATTATCATCTTCTTCTAATTTTTTTTTGGTTATTAAATAATCATAGTCAATTAATACTACTTCAGAAACATTCGCAGTATTAGCTAACCAAGAAATTTTCTTTTTTGTTTTTTTGAAGTCTCCCTCTAAATGAAGTTGTAACTCAAGTTCCGTTACAATATCTGAATTTGTTTCAGATTTATGGATGGTTTTAACAATTGCATTACCCCAATCCATAAGTGTGATCTAAGTAAAAAAATTTGATCTATTAAATTCATATATATGACTTATTATAATTCTTTTTACCATACCTCTTCTTCATTCTCAAATGTTTTTGCATCCTCCTGTTCAATCCAAATGCTGGAAGCAAACCAAGTTTGTTTTTTTCCAACATTAGGATTCTTCTTGTGCTTGGCTATCTCTTTAGAATAAGGAATTTCAGGTCCCTCCAATATGCTTGTTTTAACTCTAAATTATAAGGATGAAAACAAAGTAAGATTGAGTGAATAGCATAAATTATAGTATTTAAATAATTACATACATATTTTGCTTGGTAATTGATATGTGTCTAGGAGCAACAGGATCAATAACTTTTTTATTTAATGCCCATAATTTATCCCATTCTAATGTTACATCATTTTGCGATGCCCCTTGAGTATATATATACTGTTTCAAGGCCTCAACTGTCATTCCACGACGCCGAATGCCTAAAATAAAAGTAAATGAATCAATATTATGATTAGAAAAAAAAAATAATTTATTTTTTACAGCACTTACCACGAATAGTTGGAAATCTTGGATCATCCCATCCACTAACAAGACCTTGATTAACAAACCATTGTAATTTACGTTTTGATAGCAATGTATAAACAAAATTCAGTCTACTAAAATCCCAAACATGAACTTTTCTTAAATCTAGAGATTGAAGAAACCAATCATATTGAGCATTTCTATCTCGATATTCATTTGTTCTTAAAGCATGTGTTACTCCTTCAATTGAATCAACAATTGGACATGCAAAATCATATGTTGGATAAAGCTTCCACTTATTTCTGTCAGAGAATGTTTAAAATAGGTTATCATATATATATGTCAAAATACATACATATAATTGAAAATTAACTATATACCCTGTATGGTGATGGGGATTTAGGTCACATCTGTAAATTACTGGATCACGTAAAGCTTTATTTGGATTTGACATATCTATTTTTGCTCGAAGACAGCAACTTAATCCCTTGAAATTTAAATTTTTTAATAATCAAAAAAAATGCCCATCAAAAATTAATATTGCCAAACTGCTAATTATAACATACAAACACAGTTCCTTCGGTCATCTCTTTAAATCTTTCAAGATTTTTTTCAACAGACAAATCCCGACTTTTTGAAGGAATACCGTCCATACGTTGTTCTCTCATCTATCAAATATCATGTTTTATTATTTTTAATTTTTTGCATATAATGTTAACATTACTTACAGTAGAGACATCAGTATCATCAACATAAGCTAATCCTTTTTCAATAATCTTAATCGCATACTGATACAATTGATCAAAATAATCAGATGTATATGTTATTTTATCTGGAATAATTTCGAGTAATGTCAAATCCTCCTTAATACTCTCCTCGAACTCTTCCTATGAATAATGCAAAATTATTAAATTTTTTTTTCTTTTAAAAAATAAAATATAATAAAAAAATAAATCATTCTTCAACAACTCACCTTTTCCTTTGTGGGATTAGTATCATCAAATCTAACAATCAATTTTCCTTTATATTTTTGGGCAAAATATTGATTTAACATGACAGCTTTAGCATGTCCAATATGTAAATATCCAGAAGGTTCCGGTGGAAACCTAGTAACTACTTTTCCAACTTCGGCATCCACCAATCCAATATTCATATTTGGTTGATCTTTCCCCACTTTGGACTTGCAATATGAGTATTGTTAGCTCAAAGTTGCTATATTATATTTAATAAATTATTTTATACATACTGATGATTTTGCATTTTGGGCGATCCAATTTGTTCCTTGTTGAATAAAATCCAACGAATTAATATAATTAAACCATCTTATTAAATGAGGACCTCCTGCTTCCTTTCCAGTTTTAATCTGGCGATTGAAAGCTGCCGAATCTTTAAGAATTTATGTTATAAATTGCATTTTAATTTTTTTTTTTAAAAAAAAAACCCCCCAAAAAAGAAAAAAAGGCACATACTTTTAAGAGCTCCCCATACAATAATATCGGCCAAAGATAATTTATAGCCAACAAGAAAAGTTCTAAGGGTAAGATGATGATTAATCTCATCAAATGCTGCTTCAAGAATTTTGAAATCACTGGTTTCCAATTTATCTGTAGCAAAATCTATCCAATGATCAATCTTAAGAAAAAGATATATAATTTTACTTATTAATGATCTTTATAAAATAAGTGACATTAAGAATAAAATATACCATAGTTTTAGATGCAGAATTATTTCCATACAAATCCAAATCCTTATAGTTATTAGCTAAATATCTTGAAACATTATTTGATCCGGTAATGTCATTACTGTATATATACAATTATTTATTAAAAAAAAGGAATTACATAAACAGAACATTTAAAAGCAAAAACTTACTTATCAACTTTTAAAACTACAAAAGTATTGTTGATGCCTTCAATCGTTTCATACCAATGAATGTCAAGTTTTTGCTCTGAAGCTTTTGATAAACCATTAATATATTGAGCTAATGCTATTATACCTATTAAATTAAAAGAAAAAGGGTTAAGTTTTACAACAAATATGAAAAAGAAAAGAAAAAGCGTTAAGGAAAATATCATATACCATAAGGAACATTTGTTCCCTGTTTACAAACATTAATAGCTATCGTCATATTTACAAAAAAAAAATTTAAATATCAAAGGTATTTTTTTAAGATTATCATCAAATGAGGCTAACGTAACATTTTTACGTTGTTACTCAAGACGACGTTTGGGATGTCATAATTTTATAGTAATTAGTAATTAATAATTATACTAAGGGTAAACCAATAGGAAAATTTTTGGGTTTCGTAAGTAGTAACGTGATAGTGAAATTTTTTTGATGGGGAAGATTACGTCCCCAGTCGTAATACTTAACTAACTACCGTACAACCGACCGATTAACAATGGTTTGAAATTACTTTTGGCGCACTTTGTTATTGTAGTTCCCACACTAAAGTTTTTCCAGGTCTTGTGATAAATAAACACCATTCAAATTTAAATACAGCAATAAATAGGGCAATTATCTACAGAATTTTTACTTTTACTCTTTCGTTATTTTTTTCTAGTAATTTTTTCTAGTAATAATGGGTCAAACTTGGAGTGTCGAAAGTTCTCCTCCACAAACTGAAAATAATTTAAATCAATCATCATTACATAATTATAATATTTCAAATAATTTATTAAGGAAAAATTTTTCGAATTTGGAAAGTTATTCCTTACAGAGTACTTTTGAAAATTTGGCAAGTATAAAAAATGGTAGAGAAGTCATCGAAGAAGAAGTTTTAATTGTGAGTACATAAAATATATATAATATTATATTTATTAAGTATAAAATACTATATCAATTATGCCATTTTCTTTTTAATTTTAGCAATATTTGGGATTCCCTGATGAAATAGGAATTGGGCCAATTATTTATCGTTCATTCACATATCTAGCCAGTTACCCATCACCAGCTCACAAAGAGAATCTATTGACATATGATGGCCTTATAAAGGCCATTGCGATATACTGTGATAAAGTTCATGATGTTATATTAGAGGATCGTATTAAGCTTATATTTGAATCTTTTGCTATACATGAAGAACACTCAACTCTTGGGATAACACCTAAAATGGGAGTGTCTTACGAAAAACAGCCTCCTTATACTGAATATCCTGAAAGCAAGGTTTCTGGTGTGCAGGAAGATGAAACATCAGAAGTTGGAACATTGAAAATTGATTCCATTGACCTCGACGATGATGCCGCATTTTTAAAAGCTCTTGGACTTGGAAAACAAGAAAATGAAGAAACTTATATTGTTTCCAAAGTATCTTGTACTGAAATGATAAAAATATTAACAGGCATAATTTGGCTAATGACCAATGAAATTACTTTCACAAAAGATGTATTCGAACATTCAACGAACGCTGAACAAATTCTTAAAGTTATAACTCCAATTGTTGAACATATGGCAAGATATGATACAGATCTTCGCAATCTTCCTTATTCACAGATTATTTCTCCTCAAACTTATATAAAATGGCCAATTTTCAAAGATTTCATGCAGCGTAATATTCCAAATGAGTTTGATATATTTAAACCCTTCTTTTATGGACAATTTTTGATTGGACAGACATTGTCACAACATCGTAAAAAATCTGTTATGATCGGTCCTCATGTACAACTTTTGCCAAAATTAGATGAGACGTCAGAATACTTGAATCCAATTAATCTGGCTTTATTGAGTTTGATGTTACCAGAAAAAGTTTTAAGAAAGAAAGAATGGAATTATCTATATTCGGGAAGTAAACATGGATTTAGTATGAATCGATTTAATACTCACGTCTTTAAGTATACTGGACCCACGCTTATGATAATTCGGGCTGAGTTGACATCAGATAGACATAGCGAGCAAGCTTCATCTTCAAAGAAAGAAATCTTAATTGGTGCTTATATACCAGAACAATGGCGTTCCACATCCTCTCCACGAACATGTTTTGGTTCTGCAGAATGTTTTTTATTTGAATTATATCCTAATTTTGAAGTATTCCCTGCATCCAATCACAACAAGAATTACATCTATTATAATCCTACATTTGGAATAGGATTTGGAGGAATCGCTACATCAGGTCCAACTTCAAGTAAAATTGTATCAACGGATGCAAATTCATTTGTTATTCAATTGGATAATACTTTGCAACATGGAAGATATAGAAATGATGCTCTTCGAAATTTGGCAAATACTTTTAAACTAAGTGCAACAAGATCATTTTTTGATACGAGGTTTGAAGTGTTAGAAATTGAAGTGGTGGGAATGGGCGGTGAAGGTGCTAGAGAGAAACAAATGAGAGACTGGAAATGGGAAGATAATGAATCTTCAAAGCGATTAAATAACCGAAAAGATAAAGTTGATAAAGAAATTCTCAAGGTGAGGTTCAACTAGGAAAAATTGTAAATTGCTAATTATATTTATATTAAAAATTCCGATTTTTTTTTTCTTTTTTTTAGATTGCGGGAATTATTGATGAAAGTCAACGTTCAGAAATTATTAAGGAACCATGATTTTTAAACTAAATCAAGAAATTTTTATTTATTTATTTATTGTTTAATTGTTTAACAGAACAAATAGTAAATCGATGTCATAAATTTAAAAATTTGAAAATCCTGTGTAAAATTACGAAATTGTATTACAAAACAAATTAGTTCATTGATCACATTGTGCACTCCTCAGTCACTCCACGTTTACATGTTATAATATCATGATGTAACGCTGAAAATCATTAATAAAATAAAAGGGGTTTAAATCATTAAATTATGATTTGCTTTTGATTATCATATATCATGGCGTATATAAATAAATGGGAGACTGGAATCATTTGACTGCATGTTGTGAAACTAATGCATCTAAAAATTTTTTTTATATATAATACTCTTCTTTTTATTCTTTAACTCTTTTGCCTAACATATTCTTATTAGAAAATAATTCAATTTTTTTTTTTAAAAAAAAAAAGAAAAGTATGTCGACAAAATTCTGGGCTTCGTTATCTAGTGATATCCTACATATTTTAACAGATGGACTAGAAGAATACAATGTAGTAATAGAAGTAGGCGAAGCTCCAAATACTAAAATTTTTCAGGCACACTCTATAATATTAAGAGCAAGGTCACCATATTTTCGTCAAGCACTTTCAAAAAACTGGGCTAAAAAAGAAGGAGATATTATAAAGTTCTCCAAACCTAATATAAGTCCAAAAGTTTTTGAAGTAATCTTAAAGTAAGTTAGTTCGTCCCTTTTGGAAATGGATTACATTTTTTTTACCTAACTTTTTTTTTTTTTTTTTAATAATTACTAGGTTTATGTACAGTGGTAACGTGGATATGATGAATAAGTCGATGATGGAAGCATTAGAATTATTAATTGCAACTGATGAACTCTTATTAACAGAACTTTCGGAATATGTTCAAGAATATTTATTACATTATGAAGTTGGGTGGTTGGAAGATAATTTAATAACGCTTTGGAAAAGGATAAATAATTATGATTCATGTAGAAAATTACAAGAATATTGTTTATCAATAATTTGTAAAGACCCGACATATTTATTTAAATCTCCCGACTTCCTCTTACTCGATTCTTCATTATTAGTTTCATTTTTAAAGTTGGATAATTTACAAATTGAAGAAGTTCAAATTTGGGATTATTTGATTAAGTGGGGAGTGGCACAAAATGAGAATTTAAATATCGAAAATATTTCACAATGGAATAAAGAAAATTTTGAACAGCTGGGTACGACATTAAAAGAATGTATTCCGTTGATCGGATTTTTGCAAATAAGTTCATCAGATTTTTATGATAAAGTTTGGCCGTTTAGAGATATTTTACCAAAAAGTACATTGGAAGAAGTGATGAAATATCATTTGAAGCCAACAACTCCACCAAAACCCGTTGAAAAATTAGCAAAGAGATTGCAATTTGACTCATGTTTATTGAGACCGTATCACGTGGCATTATTATCGAGTTGGATTGATAGAATTGATAGTTTGGGACAAAAACGTTATTTGTACGAAGAAAACCCATACAGGTTCCAGTTATTACTTAGGGGAACACGTGATGGATTTGATTCCAGTACATTTCATGAAAAATGTGATGAGAAAGGTCGTACAATCGTGGTAATGAAAATTCATTGTACAAATGAAATTATAGGAGGATATTCGCCTGTAGTATGGTCATCTAAAGAAGGTTACTGGAATACCGAAGATAGTTTCTTATTTACACTCGGAAACAGGGGAATGATTGAAGATAATAAACTATGTAGGGTGAGCAGACATAGAAGTTGTTATGCCATTAGATTTAGTGGAAAAGAATATGGTCCTTGTTTTGGTGATAAAGATTTATCTATGAAAGGAAAGTTTGATCAAGAGGGAAGTTGTAGTTGTCAAAAAGATGATTATATCGACAAAGTTACTGATGCAGGAAGCTTTAAAATTGATGAATATGAAGTATTTAGAATTATTAAAAAGTGAAACTAAATTTGAAACATATATACATACATAAATATATACTGTATCTTTATTTTAATACTTGTTAAAACATTCTTAATAATTAAAATACATTAGAATCATGCTAATAAATAATTATATACTATATTAATTTAGAAAGATATTATTTTAATAAAATATTACTATTATACCTATTATTGAACATTTTATTGCATTTATGATTCACGATTGTGTTTTAAAAATTGTATTATTTATAATATGCATGTGATAATTTAGTATATAGTTAAACTGTTCTTTTTTTACATGATTTTTATGAGTTTTTATACAGCCAATCCACCTTCTTTCTCCATATTTTCCGCGATAATTCTCTTTCCAATTGCACTTTCAGTAATAAGTTTATCTAGATTAATTATACTACCTAAATCTCCACTCCATTCTTTCACCATAATTGGATTATTGATATTAAGATCTATATCACTATTATTATCACTATTATCACCAATACTAAAGTTACTATTATTTTCACTACTATAATAACTATTATATTCACTATTATAACCATCACTTTTAACGGATCCATTATGATAAAATCCTTTAAACCCTTTAAACCCTTTAAATCCTACAAATATACTACTAGAATTCTTTTCTTCATAATCATCATTTAACTCTAGTTTTTCAAATTTTCCTCTTCTTCCTTTATGATTTTTCATTTTTGATATATTATTATTATTATCTTTTTTAAAGAAATCTTTAATACCACCACTCCATCTTTTATTTTTCGCATTCTTCTTTTTATCAAACAAGGTATCACTACTCCATGTTGAACTAAGACCACTAAATGATTTATCATCATCATCTTTATGAATCGAATTTAAATCTTCATCTTCAATATCTGAAGTCGATACATCATCTTTTATATGAGATAATAATACCACTCCATAAGTGAGACCTATTATACCAACGAATACTGATACTAATGCCCATACTGGATATGATGAAAATTCATCAAGGTAAATCATGGTATTTATCAAGCCCATTGTAGTATATAAGCCAAGGAATATTGGCATTACTAGTACTGAATCACAAAGTTTAACCGCTTCATTTAAACAGACAATCTAAAGAAGTATTATAATTATTTTTTAATCGAAATACTTTTTTTTACGCGTGAAACACAAAAGAATTTACCTGAAGAATCGCAGTTATTATAAGAAATATAAGAACAAACCATCCAATCAGGTCAGTAAATTGATTGACTTGAGTTTTTATTGAAACATAAGCCAATTTCACCCTGTATTTATATATATATATATATATATTAATTTGAGAAAAAAAAATTGTTTTTCGTAATAACGAAATTTTTTTTCATATTTTGGATAATTACCCAGATTTAGCCAAGAGAAGAGTTTGACTGGCAAATAATCCAGCAACTATTGCTATATCGATACCAGTCAATTTCTTTAAGTTTGGTGTTCCAATGTTTTTAAAACATCCACTGCGTTCCTTACGTTTTTCATTTAATAGGATCCATTTACAATATATTCCTCCAAAAAGCAATATCAATGTTATAAAATTTAATATTGAGAAAAATATAATGAATACTGGTCGTATTATTAGTGACTTTAAAGAATTCATTGTTAATGATGATTCTAATACATTATTAAGACAGAAAGAAAATAGTGAGAAAAAAATGAAAAAAAAGTGAGAATTGTATATTAGGCCGTACCAATTAAAAAATTATGTTTAACAAAAAAAAAGGATGGGAGACCTTATTTATATAAAAATTTATTTTGGTATCTATATGAAAGGGATGGATTTGTTAAACATAAAATTAAATTGGCTAGGTCTTTACTGTGACTTACCCTCATGGCTGTTACTCTGACCTCCAGAGAAAACAATCCAGCATACTGATATTAATACAATAAATGTTCCTATAACATCCTTATTTGTAATTTCTGTTCCAACAAGTAATTTAGCGAAAATGAAATTAAATATCAATGATATAGACCCAAGTGGCGCTACCCATTGAGTCTTTAAATAATCTATTATTTTGAAGTTAATGTATGATAAATATAAGGAGCAAATTCGTCGACATAAAAAAAATATCGTAAAAAAAAAAAAAACTTACTTAATGCTACTGTACTTCCAACGGCCTGACTAACGACATATAAGTATAAACCTAGATGCCATTTTGGTCTACTACAATCAACACGTTGGTTTTCTTTGGGTAATTTTTCGTTTGCTACATGATCCGCTTTTAATAAATTCAGTCCTGCTGCGTACATTATTGAAGCAAATACTGATACTAAGAATCCTATAAAGAATTCTAATGTAGTTGTTTCTCCATTTGAATCAGGCATGATGAATGATATCTTTTTAAAAAGAGAAAGTACGAGGGAAAAAGAAGCTTTATATGTTTATTAAGACTTTTTCTTTGAACTTTTCGTTTATCCTATCTTACGGTACGTGACTTTTTGATATCAAATAAAAATAAAAATGGTTTTTTTAAATTCAATTACAAAATTTTAAAGAATTTTATAATCATAAATGTTCACGGGATCAAAATTGGGGTTTTTTTATGTTCTTTATTATTCTAATCAATAAGAAATCTTTCGAATTCATAAAATCATACTACATAATTTTTTTTTTCTTTTTAAAATGGACCATCTCAGATATTTACTAACACATTAACGGGTTAACCGTAAAGTAAACGTGGCTCTTGATAACTATAACAATTCAATTCCGCAATATGTTGAAGATAAATAGAAAGATTTAGAGGAGGCTGTGTGTAGATTTTTTTTTTATATTATTGTGACTTATGAGGCTTAGTATTTAACAAAGCGAAAGTCAACGAATTTTAGCCGTGATCATGTGATTAAATATCTATTAGCCTAAAAAGTATGTAGTTAAAAGTAGTTGAAGGCTGTTAAAACCGCAGTCAATTTTTTTCAAATTTATTCATGATTCAAATCTTGTTTGCGTGATATTATTATTTTTATTATTGTTATTAGGAATGTGAAGATTAAAGTAGAATAAATATTTGTTCGATTCCATAGAGAAAAGGAGAGAACAAATAAACAACCGATATTGTCAATATATAATATTATTTACTTCAGTTAATATATTATTAATTCAAAATTTATTACAAAAAGTGATTCAAAAACAATTATTCGAATTCCAGATCCGAACCAATTACTGTACAGTATATATTAAGTAAATACATATCTATAGTTGTAATTTATAAAATTAAAATCTTCTAAGCTATTAAAAATTAAAAAAAGAAAAGATTTGTACATATTATGAATAATTTAAAAGAGCACATTTTTGTCCATTTGGTAATGTACCATTGGATACTACAACACTAGTGAATGGATCTCTATTATCCAAGAACTCATAATTAGATTCTTTAACGACAAACCAATCAATATGTTTTCCCCCGAATCCGTGACCATTATCATCAACTTTAACGCAACCATTGTGAACTTTAGAGTTCGGCAATTTCATTCCGTCAAGTTTTTTAATGTAGAGTAATGTTCCTGCACGAATATCATTGGCCGCTACAGTAATGTAAGGAATCAATGGTGTTTCATTCGATGAACTGCCGAAAGGAAATTTTGTTTTATCAAGTTCTTCAAAACAAGAAAATGAATTTGAACCACAGCTACAATCTATTTTATAATAAAAAACGAATTTATTAACGAAAGAAAGAAAGTTTACTTTATTTTTCATTAAAAAAAAGATTCACTTACCACCAAGATTAATGACTCTACCGGACTTAGTTATACCAGTTCCTTCCGTTTTCATATCAATAGCAAAATCCAAATTTACCGTTGCAATTAATTTACCTTTGCATGTTTTAACATCAGCTGTTTTGGTACTTTTGAAATCATTTTCGAATGAAACCCAGTAATAAGTGAATTCCGATTTACTTGATATATTTTTAGCTGGGGTAAATGATTGACGTTTATCAAAAGTTGTTGGAAACGATGAAATAAAAGTGAAAAAAATTGTGAAAACCGTTAATAAGATAATGAGTTTGTTCATTTTTATCTGATGTATATTTACTAAAATTTAAAGGAAATGTTCTGATTTTTTTTTTCCTGAAGAAAAAAATTCTAGGCTTATGAATGCCTCCATTTTATACTTGTTGAAAAGTGATAGGATATCGTAAAAAATCTGTTCCTACGCGTAGAAATCAAATGATAAACACAACGAAAACACGACATTTTGCGTCTATGTATCAAAATATGAAAAGTGTACAATGGCAAAAAAAAAAAAAAATGTAATTAGACTTAAATAGTTAAAGATTTTAATATTATATCGTAACGTTTTTGTCGTAGCCGACAAGATTTTTGTTTCATATAATTTTTTTTTAGAAAAATTTGAACTTAGATTTTATTAATAACTACGATTTTATTAAGTAACCAATCAAGTGAAAATCTTATGTATGAACATTTTTGAATTCTGGATTCAATTTCCTAATCTAACTGTATTTATGCACTACTTAATGTTTCAAGAAAAATAGAATAAAATTTAGCCTTTATTATAATAATATCAATCTTTTCATTGAAAGTTTTATTTGCGTAACATCTTATCTTTTTTTGAACATTTATATTAATATCCTTATTTAGGAATTTCTCCTTTTGGAGCTGTCAATCATGTAATTTTGGTCAAAAAATATTTTATTTTTGTAGAAATTTTAAATTTCTTTGTTTTCCCTTTTTTTCATGTTTTTGAAATGGTTTGAATTCGAATAATTTGAATGGAGAATTAATAATATTAGTATTTCATAACAACCGATCCGTGGTTGGTTCATTCAAATTGTATTGTTATATATCTAAGTTTGGTTGGCTGATTCAAGTTGCATTAAAGATACGGATAGTCGGGAACAATCTTATTTGCATAATAAAAAAATATAAATTTTTATTTACTGTATTTATTATTATTATTGTTTTTCTTTATTTGAATCCCTTTCAAATTTTTATGATATTCTTTAATGCAAGTTATAATTAAAATAAAGTTTATTACAATCCTCTTTCATATTAAGGAAATCAAATCGGAGTAAGAATTTATTTTTAGCGTACAGAAAAAATAAGAAGTATTATAACTAAAAACTTCTAAATATGTTTAAGTGCTAAATTAGATGCATAATGCATAATATTTGACATATGAACCTATAATTCGGTAACCAATTTCATCAATTCTTTTCAACATAAAGTGGCGAGGGTTTTTCAATAGATATTTTAACCAAATATAATAATCACTATATTAAATTTTTGAATTGTTTAATAATAATAACGATTCTAAAAAATCTTCTTAAAGTCAGGTGACTTATTAAATTTTGAGAGAGAAGTTAATTATTATAAAATTTCTTTTTATCATCTGTTATTTTATAAATTGAACTTACTTAAGCCATTCTTTCCGTTATTATTATAATGCATTATCAATTATTATCAATTTATCACTTTATCAATTATCATAAATTGAATAATGATGCGAATTTGTCGGATAAATTTAATTTAATTGACAAAGCCATCATTTTAAAATGCATATAATATCTTACAAGAGGAATTTGTTTTTCTTTTGTACCAAGTAAACACGAAATCAAAGAATACATGTGGATACACGGAAAACTTTTGTGTTAATATTTTTTTTTTCATATTTCATATTTCTCCGATTTTTTTATCTCGAAAAAAAAACATATAAAATCATAGGCTCATGTCTTAGGTCAACTTCATGTCCTTCACGTAAAAAAAAAATATTTTTTTTTCTAATTTTTTTAATTTTTTTACATTCATTTCCTTTGAAGAAAGAGAACTCCTTCATTTTGAAAATATTTCTCACGTACATTTTATTATATAGTAAATAATTTCTTGTAACAATTTCTTGTAACATAATTACTGTAAATTTACATAATATCAATATATTTTCAAAATGTTCAAATCCCTCGCCTTCCTCTTAATTCTTACTTTCACTTTGATGATCGCAACCTTATCTCTTTCTTTTCCAACATCCCAACTTTCTGCTGATGAGTTGATTTCATCAACAATTGAAAGACGCGCCACCTCTCCTTTTACAAAACTTATTTCAAATAAGTCAGTATTTACTTATTATTGGGTTGCAAATGAAGTGGATCACAAATCAAATAGTGTGGTCACACTTAAAGATTGTAAAAAAAGAACGGTTGCGACCGTAAATCGTGACTTCGCTATCGAAATGAAAACGGAAGGATCTGGCCGTGGCAAATCTGGAGATGTGTTTAATTTTGATGGTAAATATAAATTTATGGATAAAAAAAAAAAATTCTTGTATTATTTTAGTATTAATTCTTCTTTACTTATTAATTAATTAGATTGTTCATGTGGATCTTCTTTTAACTGTTTTGTGAGACTTGACAAGAAAAAATTCCCGTTCGGTCTTGCAGCAAATGGAAATGCTCTCAGACCTTTTATTACTGTAGCAGCTAATGACCTTCGTCCAGGCCAATTATTATTTATCCCAGCTCTTGTAGATTTGGCCTTACCCGGTGGAAAACGTCATAACGGATGTGTAATTGTCGAAGATAGAGGTCACGGTTTTGGTGGAAAACATATTGATTTTTTTGTTGCTTCTGAATCCACTTACAAAACTTTGGATAAACAAAAAAGTATTACTAATGTCCAAGTTTTTGATGGAACTGCTTCAGATGGAAAAAAATGCACCCTTCAGAATTATACTGTATAATTTTAGAAATCTAGAACTAGATAATCAATATAATATAAATGATTGTTATTTATGTATAGTCTTTTATTAATTAATGTATCGAATGATATTATTTTTTCTTTTTTTTTTAAATGAATAAACGAATAAATGATCTTAATTTAATGAAATAATCTAAATATTATTGGTTCCGGAAAAAAAATTCCTTTCAATCAGTCGTATGCATGCACTGCTAAAATTGTACGATTATAAAATCGGCAATAATAAAGATAGGAGATAACTTTTATTAACTTTTTTTATTTATAAATAAATAATTAGTATTATATCATTTTTCACCGGAATCGTGATTTTTTTATAAATTTTGTATTTGTATGGCGAAATAAATTTTATAACATAAATAGTTAACAAAGATTTTTACGTAGTACGTAATACATTCACGATGATCATTTACACATCTAAACGTTATTAGTGAATTTTAGAATAATAATAATAACTATAACAAATAAAGAAGTTAATAAAGCGATCGTTAACCCATAATCAGGACTACCTTCCTCTTTTATCATTTCACCAAAAAATGCTTCAATCTGCGCAGAAGAAGAAGCTAATAATGTACCAGTTTGATAAACTAATCCAGGAAAAGTTCCGCGTAATTCAACTGGTGCTATTTCGTTCAAATAAGCTGGAATAGAACCCCAACTACCCTAGTAAAGTGAGAGATACATTAACATCATTTTTTTTTTAATGTTATACTTGTTATACTACTGATCACTGATGTAATATCACAAATAAATGAATATATGTATATTTTTTACTTACACCGATACAAAGATATACGGCAAAAGCACCAATCGTTAACACAATATAATTTCTTGGCAAAACGTACAAAGGTAAAAAACATCCTGCCAAAAATGTAAAGGTTATCATCGCATTTTTTCTTCCAAGAAAATGGCAAATGTAACCATTTATAAATCCTCCTATTATTGATCCTATATTTGCAATTATTGTTATAAATGTTATTTGACCTGGTGTAAAATCAAGTTGAACATTTAAGAATGTTGGGTACAAATCTTTCGAACCTTAAAAAAAAAGAAAAAAAGATATTATTAATTTACAAATTGTATACATTTTGCAATATATTTATAAATTATCATACCATGAACTATAAAATTTAACGCCGTCATTAGTAATATAGAGAAAAGAAATATTTTCCAATGATTTATTATGATTGACCGAGTTTTTTCACGTGGATTAATTTTAGTTGTTTTACGTTCTGCATGCAGTCTTTTCCATTCTTCTGATTCTGGTACTAAAAAATATATTATTAAAACTAGGAGAATTGGGAACGATCCTATGTAATATGTAGTGCGCCATCCCCAATTTGTAATAACAGCATAATATACTACCGCTGCAAGGAGAAATCCAAGAGCATAACCCTCTTGTAAAATACCCGATAATAACCTGAAATAGAGATCGATATTTGACAACCAATTTTAACTTTTAACGATGATAGACAAAAAATTAATAAATAAATACCCACGACTTTCAAGTGGTAAAGCTTCCATCGCAAGAGCAGCTCCTAATCCCCATTCACCTCCCATAGCCATTCCGAATATTGCTCTTGTAATGGAATACGTTAAAAAATTTGGTGCAAATCCAGAAGCTAATTGTAATCCACTAAATATGAAAATATTCGCCATTAACGGATACTTTCTACCATATTTGTCTGATAATAAACCAAATATTAATGCACCTAATGGACGAAACGTTAACATAAGAGTAATGCTAATATAAAACAATTAAAATTTAATTTTAATTTACGTGCTCCCGCAATTTTTGTATTTATTAAGTATGAATATTATAATTACCTTACAGCAACGTCAGATGGTTTCAACTTAAAATCTTTAGCGATATAAGGTAAAGTAAATGTTACTATGAAATAGTCAAATGAAACAAACGTCCAACTAAGATATGTTACGAAAAATGTTATAAATTGTGTTTTATTAATTGACTTTAATAATTTTAGAGGATTTTCTCGTTCGGATAATGAAGGATCAGATTTATTATCTTGCCATTCTTTTGAAAGGGATTCTTCCATTTTTTTTTCCTCAAAGTTGTTCGGTATGATGATAGAAATATCTTATAATATGAATTGAGGCTTATGATCACTATGTTTATGGCTTAAATAACACCAGGCTTAAAATATCAGATCCGATCGGCTTTATCGCCGTTTTCAGAAATATGTGTAATCCAAGCCACACGGTGATCACTTACATTTTAATTTTCCCGAATATAAAACTTTTACACTTTACTAAGACAAACCGCGATTTTTTTTTTCCATATGAACATACTGCTCTATATAAAGCTTTGACATAAGTTTTATAATATATGAAAAGTTCTTTTGCCGCGAAACTTGCTAATATTTACGAGAATTTTTGCGATTTTTTTGCGAATTTATAGCGTTAAAACTTTACGAATATATTACAAGACAGTAAGTTGTTATAATAATACGCGATTTTTTCCTTTCCATATAAATATATTACTTTATACAAGATTTTAATATAAATTTTATGATATATAGATAGTTACTTTATCACGAAACTCACGGTACTTTGTTGAGATTCTTATAATTCTTGCTTACTGAGGTATATTGCATGATTTTTTTTTTCTGAAACATTTTTTTGAAAATTTAAAACTATTATAGACTATTCTGGTTCTTATTGTGATTTAATTTCGTTTTAAATTTTACTTATTTATCATCTTTTAAAATATTTAGCATTAACATGGTAGACTTTAAGTAATGATATAAGATGGTGTATCATTTACCATCAACTTGATGGGTTTTCAGCAATAGAAACTGCTCTTAGTCTTTACATTGGCGTTTCTACTGTGTATGAGATCAGAAGAATTTATGATCATTGGGATTGTGTGTAATTCATCCATTTAAAGGTCGTCAAGGAAGAAGAAAAACTGAATCTTGTTGTTTTAAATGTATTTATTTTGATTTATTATTATTGTAAAATTACTTTATTGATTAAGATAAATATTAATAATTAAAAGTAATATGGTTCGCCCTAACTATTACTAATGTTTAATTTATTAATTGATAAATTATTTATTGATTAAACATTTGATATTACAGATTTTAGATTCACTTGTAAAAGATAAGAAAAGTTTGTTGCATTGTTGGTTTAATAGTATTACAGTAAAGGCACTTTTGACATGTATATAACAGGTTCCTATTTAATATTATACATTTATACTAAAGGTTTCTGGTTTTTCAACTTCGCAATTACTCATTGTAATTGTTTTTTGTACGCGAAGGTGTGATAATTAATTATTAATAGTTAGCACGTGAAATCTGGATAAATATTATTGGATAATTTTTAATTGTTACACAAAATTTCGAGTTTCGAATTTTGCACGTGAACTACTTTTACAAAATAACAAATACACATATTTCTGAAAACGGCGATAAACACCATTTTAATTTACCATTCGAATAAGCTGTAATTTGATGCGATCATCATGGCGTTACGACACGCGGGTTTACTCCGTACCTTAATAAATGCTATTCTGCTAAAGTATTTATGAAAAAAAATTAAAATTGTATCACGTAATTTATAAATCTATATTAGTATCTATCACATGATATACCCAAATTACTTTTATAAAATGAGTAAATTTTCAATCAAACCATGTTCCACTGGCCTAAATCATCATTGATTAGAATGGGCCGATAATTTAATTGGTCTAATTTTTTCCAATCTCACAATATGTCAAAAATGTCAAATAATGAAATAAACAAATGTACTACATTTTCGGCATAGCGAATTCGTTGTAATTACTAAAATAGGTTTATTTTCATTTGTGGTAAGAAGTACACTCCATTTTTGTGCCCTGTAAAAAAAGTCGATCCGTTTTTTATATTTAATCTTTTTTCCGTAAAAGGCTCATATTTCCGGAATTAATAACGGAATTTATCGTTATTCATTTTACGGAGTTATTACAGAAATAACGGATAAAATTTTTTATAGAGGTGTTATTGTTATTTAATTGAGATATACCATTTTCACACTAAGAATGAAGCAAAGATTCATGCATATTTCAATTTTTCATTTCAATAGATTTAATAGATTTAGTACGAAAATGAAAAAGTATAACTATGATTTCTTTTTCACTAAAAAATTATATATATATGCACATACCTTTCTCAATGGAACTTGAGATAAATTGTTATTACATCTTGAAGAAAATTAAAACATCATTAATATATCAATAGCAATTTCCATCATGCAACATCTAACTTTTTTCATTCTTACCATTATCTTCTGTCTAATGGGTATCACACCTTTTGTACCAGGCACTGAAGGTAATGTTTTTTAAATATATATTAAATCGATTCTTTATAACAATTTAATTTATTTATTTGATATATAATAGCATTCGAGGTTCTAGTCTTGCCACTCTTTGGAAATAGTAAGAAAGTCTTAAATTTAATGATTAAATTTATAAAAAATTGTATATTAATTATTCTTATTTTTTTTTTTTACAGACTATGATGTTTGTAGTCTTTGGATGGAAGATTCGAATCATAATTTCATAACCTATATACCTGGTGGTCTAAGTCATCATGATGAATATATTAATTTCTATTGTGGAGGTCATATGCCCCAAAATGGTGATTCAGGAGTAGTTCCGAAAAATGACATTATAACTTTGCAAACTTTAGATAGTACTACACCATATCGAATTAATTTTCGTACGCAACAAGATACTCCTTATTGGTATTATATTGATCACGATTATACAAGTGATACGTGTATAGTATTTTTTGGTTCCGACCACAATTCTTGGGAAATTGAAGAATTAGGTTACGGAGAATGTAGATTCCTAAGAGATGGACCTGGTCTAAGTGCTGATACAAGTGGTCAAAGTGCTGATACAAGTGGTTCAAAAAGTGCTGTAACTAATGTTGTTGTAAAAAGTGTTGGAAAAAAATGATTAGTTTTTTACCCCAATAACAATTACAGCTGAGATAATAGGTAATATATATTAATATACATTATTATACCATTCACCAAATAGGTATACTTATAAATAATCATTAATGAGCATCGTTATTACAAAATACTAAAAAAAACAATCAATCTTTTGTAATGCTATAATTTTCTCTTTGCATAATTAATTAATTATTGCATCATTCTCAAATAAAGTGCATAAGTTTATTTTTAAAATAGAATCAATTCTTTATAATTCCGAATTCTTTCCTTAATTTTGCAGAAATTAACTAATAACAAAAAAGGTTTGGTACGAAATCTCGAAAATCATTTGAGCGACTGACACAAGACCGACATCAAAATCTCGACAATCCAATATCTTTGACAAGTCAAAATCCTGACAAGTCAAAATCCCGACAAAATTATAACATATTTAAACTAAATATTATACATATTGCAACAAATTTTTTTATTAGAATACACATTACAAAATTGTCGATATAATGACTTGTAGGGATTTTGGATTGCCGAGATTTTGGATTGTCGAGATTTTGTTGTCGATCTTGTGTTAGTCGTGCAAGTGACTGTCGAGATTTTGATCGGATACCCAAAAAAGTATGAAAGTAATTGTTTTTCTTATTTTATAGAAAGTACTTGTAATACTATTACTGATAATTCTATTAATATTAAAACTTTAGTTAAGTTTTATTAAAATATAATCTTTTTTTCTACTTAATTATTAACTTTTAAAACAAATGTTAAGGATAATAAAGATAATAGTTTTGATAAAAATAACAGTAATGATATAAATAATGATAATGAAGATAAAAAAAAAAGAAAAATAAAGAAAATAAATATTAATGATACAGTATTAACTTATATAGAAAGAATAAAGATAAACTTGATAAAAAGTCAGAATATCAGATATTTAAAATATTTAAAGAGAAGTTTTTATAAAGAAAATCTAGAATTATTATCTATTGGAAAGATCTAAAATTACCTAAGAAACTAACTAAAGAGGTATTTGATAAAAAAAATTTGAGATTATATAAAAAATTACCAGCTTGAGAGGCTATCTGATGAAAAAAATTTAAAATTAATCTGAAAACTAATTGAAGGGCTACCTGATAAAAAAATCCGAGATTATTATGATAAAAAAAAATCTAAAATTATCTGAAAAACTATTTAAAGAAAAAAATCTAAATTTAAAAAATTTGAAAAAAAATCATCAAATAAAAAATTATATGAAAATTATTATAAAAAAAATAATAATAAAACTATAAAATTTAGTAAAAATTTACACAAAATATTATATTTTATTTATAAATTGCCAGCTTCAATTTATAATAAAAAGATTTTTTTTAAAAGTGAATTATTAACAAATTGATAACTTTGTAAAACTTTGTAAATAATTTAATTGTAATAAATATTACTTCATTTACTTATACTAAAAGTTCCATTTATAACTAATGATGAAAAAGATATTAAATATATATTATATAAATTAATAGGATATATTTTTAGTTTTATTACAGAAAATATAAAAATAAAGTTGCAAAAGATATTTTATAATATAAAAAATTGCAATTCTATATTGAAATTTAAAAATCATATATTTGCTTATATAAAGAAAAGATAATCCAATTATAAGTCAAGAAAAAAATTATGGAAAAATATTTTGATTAGATTTTGAAGATTTGAATTTAATTTTTCAAATCTTATCATTAAAAATATATAGATTATTGCAAGTTTTTAATGGTAATTAATCCTTTTAGATGTATTTGAAAAAATTATTTTATATTCTTTAAAAATATAAAATAAAAATTATAATTAATTTTAATTTATAAATTAACTTTATAGGAAATAATTACATTTCACCAGAGGTAAATTTTCTTCTTTTACATGATACTGATTCCATATGATTTGTATAAATCATATAAAAAGCTTGCTTTACATATTACAATAAACTTTACAATTGTAAACTTTTTTTGTTACTTGTTATACAATTTCTCATTATAGAAATGACTGAAAAAATTTTTAATTTTTCTTTGAATGAAACTTTAACAAATGTTGAATTATTACATGATAAACAACATCAAAATTTTCTAATTGTCAATTTTTTATCTAAAAAGATATTGAAAATCCAATTTCAAACTTAACTTTAGAATAAACTTTTCAAATTTGGAATAAAGCAGAGAAATTTTTAAATGATTATATGTTAAAGAAAGGTTTTAGTATTTAGCAGAAAAGAACTGAAAATAATGATAATAAAATCCTATGAAAAATTAATTAGAAATATTATTATGCAAGTAACTATAAACAAATAATCAAAGAAATCACCAGTCTAAAGTTACAGAATATAAATGGAGAGTTAATGGAAATCTTTTAAAAAACTCTTTAAGAATTTTGTTCATTACTGTGTTGATAAATACAATCATCAAATGATACTTTTTTCTTCAACTAATATTACTAAATATCGTAAGCTTGGTAAAGATATGATTCAATTTATAGATTTTTGTATACAAAATAAAATAATTGGCATATAAACCATTAATTGGCTTTTAAGAGAAAAGTTTCTTAAAAGAAAAATCTAATAGAAAAATTTATATAATGCCATCTAAATTTTAAAAAAGAAATTATTATCAAGAATTGAATTTGATACTTCAAATTTAATAAAATTTTATATTTACAACAAATAAATGACTCATATTGGTTTATAAAAACTAAATTTAATGGAATTGAATGATAATTATGTGGATTATTATAGATGACATCAGATCAACAATTTTTATGAATGTATTATTATGATATTCTATTTTTTGATATTACATCTCAAACTAACAAATATAATATAATGACTTATTTTTTTGCAATTATAAATAATTGTAATTATACATGACTTATTGCAACTGCATTACTTGAAGATAAAACAAATGAAAGTTTAAATTGACAATTAAATTTACTGATTTACAAATAATTTTAATAAACTAAAATTATATTTTATTAAGCAAATTTAAACTTATATTATTTAGAATTTTACTATAACTCATATTTTGAGTTTTAGAAAATTAGTATAGATTTAAAATGTGATAATTTGATTTTTAGTAAATTAGGTTTATTTTAGCAGGAGCAAAAAATGCTAAATTTATGCAGATCAGTTATGAGTTATATATGTGATATCCAGGGTCTTTACTAATTATATGACTAGAGAGGAATTTTTTTTCCAATTAAAATTAGAAATTTTGAACTTTATATATATTAGAATATTTAAAAATTATAAAAATAAAGCAAATTTTATAATAAAGCAAAAAAATAAATAAAGGATTTGAAAATTTAAATAATTAAATCTTATTTTAATAAAGAAAAATTAAATAATTTTTTTATTAATAACAATTATTTTTTCTTATTAATCTATTTTATAATTAAATATAACTATGTTTATAACTATTAATTCGTGATCCGTCTCCAAACCAGTGAAATCTACCAATACATTTTGGGGAATTATTTTGCAAATTAATTTAGTGAGAAATTCAGATAAGAGTAATAGATATAGCACGCAGAAAATGTGAAATGAACTTACAAATTATTAGAGTAGAAGAACTGACATTCCAAAAGTATTAACTATTCAAAATTACTAGATACACCGACAACCTGTGTTTAATAGAAATAAATAATTTTAATACTTTTTTTTGTTTTTTCTTGTTTATAACCTTTAAATAAATTATTTACCAGCATATAAATAATATTTTAATAAAAAAATATTAATTTTGTGATTGTCCTACCTCTTGTATTGAATAATTATGGCATTTTTAAAGGCAGGAATCTAGCGTCGCTAAAGAAAAAATTTTTTAACTAATCGTTCAATGTAAAAATTTTTGATGGATCTTTGATTCCCTCAGTTTTAAGCAATTGGTTACACTATTTTTCAGCTGGGTTGTAATACAAATTTAGCTGGTTACTTTTTAGGCAATATCGCCAATTTGTATAACAACGTAACCTTAAATGGCAGTATATGTTGATCAAACTTGTAATATTAATATTTGACGATGCAAATTTATCATTCAATATACTCAGAACATTATTATATAACACTTAAAAAAAAAAAATTCTGGGCAAATCAGCTCAAAAGCCATTTAAGGGATAATTAATTTGTAAAACCAGTTTCCCAAAATTTATTAGTAGTTTTTACTGGTTCGGAGACAGATCACGAATTAAATAATAAGTTAAAATTAAGTCAAATATATAATGATAATTTATAAAATTATAAATTAAATCTAATTTATATAGTAGCAGATATTCTAAAATAAGCTGTAATGTTAATATCAACAGAATGCTAGTATCAAATAAAATTTTACTGATGAATATAAAAATTATTAAAAATAACAAATATCAATTAGATGATATGCAACTGATTTCTTTAATAAAGAATTCTGTTAAGAGTTTCACAAAATTAAATGCTAAAGCCATATTCTATATTCTAAAAGAAAAAAGACAGATTTTTACTTTTATAGAAATAGCCTTTAGAAATTTAAATATAAGTAGTAATTATAATACTCCCTTAATTCCTTCCAATAGTAGAACAAAATTAAATACAAATAAATATATGATATTAGATAATAAGACTTAGTTAACTAAGAAAAAATAATAGTATGCTTTACCAAAATAAATCATATTAGTTATGACTGAATATGAACCAGTATTTTAGGATAATGTTTGTAAAATAACTTTATACAACATCCTTTTCATCTGGTTCCAATTCAACATTTTTTCATGTCTTAAGAAATAGGATCATATGATTATTATAAAGATCAAGAATTAGAAAAAATACAATAGTTATTATATTAATCAATTTTAATAAATAGGTAGTAGAACTATGAAATCAAAGAATTTGAATTGCTTCTTTAGAAGGTTTTCCTATCTGATAGTACAGAATTTTGCTTACTTATAATAAAGGTTATTATAGAAAATTGGTTCTTTACTAATAATTTTTACCTTACTTTTTTTTTTTTAAATTTTATTGGTTAATTAGCTAAAAAAGAAAAAAATCATAATAATGTAAGGACAATGACAAATATTACCTAATATCAGTTTATTATAAGAGCTTATTCCCCCTCCCCCAAGTAAAATATATTATATATGTAATTTTCTTATATAGTATATATGTAACCTAAGATTTTCAACTACCTCCTCTCCTTCTAGAATATTAGGTAATATCTGTCATTGCCTTAATATAAAATTTCCTTTTATAATAGAATCTGTAAAGAATTTTATATATGAATTTAGAGCTCCGAACGAGTTGAGTTGAGTCGAGTTATATGTAAACTCGATTCGACTTGAGTTAAATCGAGTCGAATTAAATCACGTGATTTTAATTCGGCTATGCCGATCATTTCCTTTTCTGGCGATAGCCGTTCCACAAAATTCCATTTTTGTAATTTTCAAAAATTTTTCGTCTCGGATTTTGTGTAACATAATTTCCAAAAAAGGAAATTCCATAAATTTGGCCGGAATTATGTTTAATTCGGCTTAACTCAACTCGACTCGATTTTATTAAATCATTAACTCGACTCGAATCGATTCGATTTGATTGTAATTTTCAACTCGACTCGACTCGACTCGACCAACTCGCACGTCAACTCGACTCGTTTTGGAGCACTAATTTTTGAAATTAAAATATTAAAATAATATCAAAGTTAATTATATTATAATAATAAAATAATAATAAAAGCATTAAAAAATTATTGTGATATTATTTTGAGATATTTTTATAGACCTAGATACAATACAATTACAAAATAATAACTAAAGTATAATAAAAACATTTTAATATATTAAATGTATTTTAGTAGTATTTTAAAATTATTACAAAATCATTTCAAAAAATTGGCCATTTTTAGTAAAGTATGGTGCTGAAAGTTTATATTTGACAATAAAAATGCAATAATTAAAAATCTTTCAATTTCTTAAAAAAAATATAATTTACTGGTAAGGGGATGGCCAGAAATGACATCATTTCCTAAGGGGGGAAGGGGGGTTAAGACCATAATGATGTTATACGCCTCCATTTTTAGACACTTATAGTTAATATAATTTTAGTCAGAATTGTGTTTTAATTTTACATTTTCTAAATGAATGATGATATAGGGAAGGGATCAAAAATCCTAAAATTTAAATTACGTCATTTCTGGCCATTCTTTAACTTTATCCTTTGAGATAAGTTCTATCAAATTACTGGTCAAAGAAGGTCTATGTAAAAAGTTATAAGCATTTGAAATTGCATGATTTTCATATAATCAGCCCAAAATATGTTGGCCAGAACTTATGATAATTTGGGTTGACTCCATGCATTGTGATAATGCTAGCCCAAATTATCATAATATGAATCAAATGTAATTTTTAAATTTTTTCCATATCTATAGTATTAAAAACTCTATAAAAAAAAAATAAAGAAAAATATATTTTGTTTTTTTTAATTTTTTAAATAAAATTGAATTTAAAAATAAGGAATGGAAAATTTAATTATATTAAAGAAATATGAAAAGTTTTTCACTTCAAATCACCAGAAGGTAATTATCACCATTGGCCAGAATTATTAATTTTTATTGGTACTATATATTTTTAATGCTGGTTGATCATCATAATTTCAGTCACCACCTCTTGGTGATAGTTAGAAAAATTCATATGAAAATATATTAATATTTTTTTTTTTATTTTTATTAAAATATTAAAATATAAAGAATTTAAAAGTAAAAAAAATATAGAATATTAATTAATAGAAAACTTACTATCAGTATAAAAGTATTATATAATATCAAATTTTTTATATTTATTTTGTATAATATATACTATTTTATAAAATATAAATTATTATTAAATATTTTATTATTATTAAGAAATATTTTGTTAAATTTAATAAAAAAAACAATACATTATATAATTTAATAAATAAAATTTAACTTAATAAATTTTTTATTCACATATTTATATTATATAAAATAATAAATTATTTAATTAGTTAATTTATTAAAATTTTTTTCAATCTACTTTTTTTAAGCCAACATTTCAGACCATATAAAAGGAAATATAACCAAACAAGCAGTATAAAGTATTAAAATACTTTTTGGAATATTTTGAGGAAAATCTGTTAATTTTCCATTAATAAATAATTTGTAAGTTCCATAAATAGCAACAGCAAAAAAATGACCAACTAAAACTGTTGGATTTGGAATTAATCTAAAAACAATGATTAAAATTGTAATTAGTTGATAAATAAATTTCAGTTAAGTATTTAGTTAGCTACTCACCCTCCTAATAAACCACATGGATCAGAAGCACAAATTCCTCCTAATCTCAAATAATTGAAAGTAGCTTCTCTCAAAATTCTTAAATACTCATCTCCATCACCAGCAAATAAAGCATATAAAGCTTGAGCAAGTATATTAATAACGGTACTTGAATAAAATTTTCTTTTCCAATGAAAAACTTGCATTTGAGCCAAAATTAAGTTCGAATCATCAAAATCTGGAACATTATCACGTGATAATAAATCTGATAAAATAGCTACATCATTAAATGCCACGGTCATGCCACCTGTCACATTAATGAGAGTTTGTCATTGATATATATTAAATACAAGTCAATTGATAATAAATTTGCTTACCTCCAGTTAATGGATGTCTCATATTCATAGCATCACCCAAAAGAATTAAACCTTCATTAATATTAATGGAAGGAGGTAAAAAGTTATTTGGCATACTTCTTAATCTTTCACTTTGAAGAGCATCATAAAAAGAAGATTGTACACTTTTTGGTATAATAGGTAACACTTCATTTTCAATATATTTTTTTAAGGACCCATTGCCGTTGCTTGGTAATTTGCCAGGTATATCAATTAATACGCGAGTTTCTCTTGTATCAATTTGATACATTAAGATTGGGGATCTACCTAATATGACATGTCCATGATTAGGTAATGGTAATTTAGCATCTTTCAATATAAATCCTACAAAATTGGATTTTACTGCAACTTGTTTCGAAATAAAGTTTTTTCTAAATTTAGAAAAACATCCATCTGCTATAATTGTCAATGACGCAAAAAACTAAGAAGAAAAAAGAAAAAATTAAAACTTTAATTCGAAGTGTATAAAACAACATGTGCGATATACCATTTTTGTAATGCCAGATTGTCCTTTAGGAGTGCACATGACTCCTAATACACGATCAGTCATTGGACATTTAAGGATCTCATTCGCCGTTCCCTCAAATATCGTAACACTGTATTAACAACAATCAATTACTTATACTTATTAATCTTTTTAAACTTCTCATCAAATCATATTTACTTGGGAGTCTCTGCAGCAGCTTTTCTTAGGTTCATAATAAATCTACCATGATGAAATGATTTACCAATAGAAGGTTTACCACCAGAAGGTGGATACAAAACATGCACATTTTCTCCTTTATAAAATATTCCATAACCATGGCATGGAATTGCATCGATATTTTCCAAACAATCTAATATATAAATAAAAATAATTTTTATTATAAGAATTGTAATTAAAATAAGCATTATTGACTTACTTGATAAACCTAATTTAGTTAGTGCAGCTACTCCACCCGGTTGTAATAATTCTCCAACTATCCTATCTGGTTCACTTAAATCTCTTTCTAAGTACAATTTTTATGTTAGACATGTCAAATTCCACGTGATTATAATAATTTAATTAAATAATTACCAATAAGTAAAACCTTTCTTCCTTGTTTACCAAAGGTTGCTGCGCAAACACTTCCTGCGATTCCTGCTCCGACGATAATTAATTCATGATCATCATTCAATAGGGGAGTTGTTTTATTACTCTAAAAAAAAAGTATTTATTGTGTTAAAAGAAAATTAAATGGATTTATTTAAAGGATTATTTTGGATAGGTTTACATAAAAATATCCTAATATTGAATTTAAAATTTTTTTTTTTTAGTTTAAAAAAATTAAATGATAAGATCCCTCACCATATTTTATTTTATATTTATATTAAAAAAAAAAAAAAAAAAAATCGTAAAATTGGTAAGTTAAAATATGGTGGATTTTATATATAAAAAATTTTTTGTCCATTGTAACCAAGTCGAGACGTAGATCAGCCGAGTAGCCAATAGATAACAGACAATAAAACTTTAATCTATTTAAGAAATATCCCCCGAAAAGTATTTTTTTCCTTCTACTTTATGAATGTAAATATAAAATAAAGTAAAGGATTTTCTCAAATTATTATTGATAATTGGAATTTCTTTAAGGTAAATCTTTACTGAAAGTAGTAGGTAAATTTTTGACAAGAGACGTGGCAGTCGAGTTTTTTGGCGATCATCATAAGATGATTATCAGAAATTAATTTATTTTCAAAACATGTAATGTAACAATAAGTAAAGATGATTTTTTTTTTATTAATATATATATGTTTATGTACTAGTGTATACTGTATATAAAGTTTTGTTTCTAATTAATACAATAAATAAAATAAAAAATTATACAAAGAATATGCTAATAAAATATATTTTGATCGCCTAACACTATTCCCTCCCTCTCTTATTCAGCCGTCACCTGCGATGTAGGTCTAGGAGTGTTAATAGGAGTGTTAATGGGAGAAATAATGGGAGAAATAATCGAAGTATTTATTCGAATATTTGGATGAGGTGAATGAGGCGAGTTAGGTCTGTGAGGTGAATGAGGCGATTGAGATCTGTGAGGTGACTGAGGTCTATGAGGTGAATGAGATGTGTGAGATGTAAGAGGCGCGTGAGGTGCGTGAGGTGAGTGAGGTGAGTGAGGTGAGTGAATTGAGCGAGGTAAATTGGCTGAGTGAGGTAAATTGACCGAGTGAGAATAGTTGGATGAGTGAGACATGTTGGACATGTTGGACATGTTGGATAAGTTGGATAAGTTGGATGTATGAGCTAATTGAGGCATCATATATTTGGAATTATCAATTATAATTGGTTTTTTGTGCATTTCAATTCTGACTTTAGCAGGTTTCTTAAGAGATACTGCAGGATAAAGTTCAGCAGGTAAAGTATTCCAAGCTTCACCGTGTCTAATACCATTAATAGAATAAGCTAAAGATCTACTACCCATATTAAGGTGTACAGTAACTCTATCACCCTTACCAAATTTAACACCATATCCTTTAGAATATGACTGATTCAATTGATTATTATGATAAAGTAATCCATTTGAACCTAATACCCAACCGTAATTGGTCCCTCCCAAATAAGAAGAATAATTTACTTTATCTCTTCTTTCGGTACAAACGCCAATCCAAAGATGTTTACAAGATTCTTCAATATAAATATCCCATTCATAAATTTCGTGGCCTCGAATAGGTAGCGACGCTCTAGCCCATTCGTATTTTCTCGTATTTGATTTTAATGCAACATCGTTTTCCAATAAAACACATTGTTTACCATGAGCTTGTTGACTCCACTGAAATCTCAAATTTTCGGGTTTAGCTGCTATAGTACCACGATTACGTCCTGGACCTGAACCTGCAGGTAATTGAGCTTGATATTTAAAAGCTTCATTTAACATATCATTTGGCACTATAATATCCAACGGTTCAATTATATTCGCTAATACTGAAGGATGAATTAATTTAAAATCTACAAATGGTAATAATGGATTTAATAATGCCATAATCATATCTTTGATTTCTTTGGATTTTGATTTTTTTTTATTTTTTTCATGCGATTTTCTTAATTGTTCTATCTCATTCGCATCTAAATGTTCAGCATGATCCGATGGCGGTAATAATGGTTCAAAGTATGATACGACTAAATTATTGTTATTACAATGATGTGCTGCCCATAAAACAATATAACGAAATACACCATATTCTGGTGTAACAAATTCTTCATAAGTTGTATCCATATTAGTGGGCGATAATATAAATGATAACCCCTCAGCTGTTAAATTATGATATTCAATAGTTTCCAAAGGTGTTACAACCAAACTATTATGTAACGTACGAAAAAATAGGTCATCTGACGATGGTAACATGAATTCTGATGCCTGTGTTAATAACTTGGCTGCTAAATTATTATCTGCGCTACATTTTAATGCGTTATCCAAAAATGTTATGATAATTTCTTCCAGTCCTGCTAATAAAAAATATTCCGCTCCTAAATATGCTTCTACTATATTATTTAATGTTAATGATTCTATCATTATATCTCCCATATATAAAAATTCTAATATTATTAATAATGTTGATGAACTAAATTCTGTAAATGTTATATGATTATCATTACTACTGAAAGTATTTCTACTTTCTCTATTATTATTCCTATTGTTATTTTCTTCGTTATTTAATATCAATCGAGCAAATACATCTGATCTTGCCGCTAATAATAATTTACTCCCATATACTACTCCTCCATCTTTACATGTAATTATAATGTCACTATACACCGGATTATTAAACATTGCTCTTAAATCTGCTCCCAAAAATTCTCCTCTATAGAGCAATATTTCCCTCATGTTATTATTATCATTACTTTTATTATTCCGAGACAAACACGCTCCCATTTTTCTATAATTCGCTTGGTAATATAATTTTATATAATGAGAAAAGAAAAAAGAAAACAATTTTTTTTTTAAAAAAAAAAAAATAAAATAACGAGAAAAAATTTTTGGAAAAAAAAAATGAAAAATGTTGACCTATTTTCTTCTTGTTTACTATTTTATTTTTCTCGCCTGCACATGGATTGCATTATGCATTATGTAGTGTAACTACTAATGACATACTAACCATACTAACTTGAATTAAACTCGATAGCTGTATAAATGTGTGATAGATACATAGGACTTTTTATTTGAGTATACCATTTCCAAATTTTTCGCATAAGAATGATCCCCTAAAACTTTGTTTATTTAATTAACAATGATGTAATTAGACAATGATGTAATTTAACTTCTCAAGCGGGCGTTTTTTGTGTTAGTATAAGTTATTATAATGTTCGAAAATAAAAAAAGTATGCTTCGATCTTCGTACACATCTACTTACGAAAATAAACATTTAATTAATTAATATATGTATACCAATCAACCCTCTGAGAGTCTGAAAGTAACGAAATATTTTTTTTATTTCTTGCGACTTTACACAATATGCCATATTACGTATAAAATAATGCACGACAATATACAAGATTTTGACAAGATTTATATTTATCGTACAATAAATGAAACTTGTTTTTTACTTGTTTTAGCAAGTCTTCTGGACTAAAAATGGTACTCCCAAATGGTACTCCCAAATGGTTCTAATCTTGTGAATAATTACATCATAATAAATAACTTAAATATACTATGTAACTTAAATATAATAATTATTAAAATATAATAATTATATAACTTAAATATAATATACAATGTACCTAGAAATATAAATTAATAAATTTACTATTATATTAAATTTCGGTGATATATAATTAAAGATCTATACAAGAATCTATTACAGAAAAATATATTAGATTTAACAAGACTCGCGGTCTATACATATCCTCCACCTCCTGGCACACTATGCATCATATTCGTATTAGAAGAACCCATACTATTTTCACCACTAGCATTATGTTGTATTATGGGAGTAGAACTTGATTTACTGCCATCATTTTCGATCAAATCCAATACAACTCTTCTTTTTTCGCTCCAATTTGCGAGTGTTTTCTGTACTGCCAATTCATGTTGTTCATTAAACGCCGCTCGGTTTGTATAATTAAGTTGATTATGTTGAAATCTGTAAATGTCTAATGATAAATAAATTTCAATTAATATATATAATGTGTAAAATACATAATATAAGAACTTTTTCCCTTTGTGACTTATTTACTATATATACCTTTTAAAAGTCGACCTGAAACAAGACATCCCAAGTCATTATTGGCATCCTTTGATAACTGATATGCGGCACTTAACATTTTTTCCGCTTGTTCATTATGTTCAGCACAAAATATTTCACCAAGATATGAAAGCGTTAAAGATTTAAGCTGATTATTAAATAATGTTGTTGACAATTTTAAAGTTTCTGCCAAATGTTCCCTGAAAATATTTTTAAAAAAATTAATGATAAAATACGAAACTTCTAGAAAATAAAAGAATATTTTCGTCCTTACTTTGTTCGTGAGAAATCACCATATGATAACGCTTCCAAGAAGTGTAATGCTGCTCTTAAATTATCTATATTATGTGTTTGGTATACCAATTCTTGTTTTATTTCCTTTATTATTGTTCCAATCTATCACCAAATAAAGAATAATTTGAGTGCTGAATTAATCTAAAAAAAACTTCTTTAATATACTTACATCTTGATGGTGATTGTTACCGCTTCCAACCATTATTAATGCACGGTTAACCTTAGATAATATTCTAATTTCTCTATTATCAGCAATCTTAATCGAAACAAAATAATTTAGTGAAACCAACTTAATATAATTCTGATTAAAAAAAAATTACCTTTTCCACTTGTTTATAATGTTCTATAGCTTCATAAGTTTTACCTACGCATTGGTTTATCATCCCTAATGCAAGTGTTACTGAAACATGGAATTGTGCCCATAAGTTATATTCAGTTATCCAATTTATCAATTGTGCAATAGTCTTTAAGAAAATATAGAGATGTAAGTTATATAATACAATTTTTCATGTCAATAAAATCACCATGGTTCTTTTAAACAAATATAACTCACTTTTTCGGCATCATCGAAATCTGATCTCATCAAATAAGAGTCAACTAGATGCTGAAGCATATATGCCTTTAATGTAACGTAAAATTTTTTAGATTTGATGACATCATGGATCGGAAATTGGTTGTCTAATAAAAATTAAAATATGTTATACATCCATAATGATAGATAAATGATAACATATTAATGCTTACCATCATTCGAATATATTTCCCCTGTAAATTAAAAAAGGATTAGTAAGTTAAATAGACTAAACTAAATCATGAACTAATTTATTTGGATGAATTACTCTCAACAATCTTTAATCCTTCTGTCAAGAATATAATAGACTTTATTGTTGAAGTATCTCCACGATTACATATCCCTGATATCAAAAATGTAAGAGTATAAATCTCGGCTTTTGATAGCCAACGGATTGTGACCGGTAGACTTTGTGCTGCTGTTGTTGCATTCGCATATGTGGTCATTGAGGTCGTTGGTGCAGCTGATATATGTATCTAAAATAACAATTAATAAATTACATATAATCATTGAATTATAAGTTATAAGTTGCTCGATGAAATAAATCGTTTTTACCGTGGTGTATCCTTTTAATTCATCCAATGTAACTTCATCCTGTTTCTGATCTAAAATTTGATGCACCTCTGTTAACTTTTCAGTTGCTGCTTTCATATTTCCAGTATGCATATGATACGTAATGAATAATAATGAAAAATGTAAATAAAGGAGCTGATTGGATATTGGGAATATATGATATGTTGGTGGAGGACGACTTGAAGGCGGTGGAAAATAAACCGTTGAGAGCTCAGCAAGAGCATGTTGTGCTTCTGGATAATTTTGACTTGAGAATGCATATTGAGCCATTGAAATTAGAAGGCAAGCCTATAAAATATAAACTAAAATTAATTTCCAAATTCATTTTACTTTTTAAATTCGTGTTGATATTAATATATACCTTCATTTCAACATCTCCTTTCTGATCAGCCATTGACTCTGCCTGCTTTAATATTTTCGAACATCCATTAAAATCTCCTTCGATATAGTGAAATTCTGCACATTGCAATAAAAAGTGATATGTCCAATTAGGTGTATTATTCCTATATTCGAATTTTTAAAGTGAGTATATATTTTTATACGAATGAGTTATATATAAATAACAAGAAAAAAGAAAAACCAATTCACACACTCTATTGCTTCAACTATACATGATTTCATAAGATTTTTCGCTGCTTTAAAGTTTTTTGTGCTTTTGAGAATATTACATTGAAAATCAATCATTCTGAACTTGAGCTCCGTAACTTTATCCAGCTGTTCAAAACACAAAAAATGTATATACATTAAAGAATGAATTTATTAATCTATTTAGTTATCCATATCTTATTTACCTCTTGAGAAAGCAAAATCGCTTTCTGTATATGATTTTCTGCTTCTCGAATATTATCAGTAAACCAAAAAAGAATTTGACTTAACCTAAAGCGCGTTTTCAACTCAATTAATGTCATATAATTTTTCCCATTCGTTATACTTTTAAGAACTGCCTCCAAACAATTAATCGCTGCCAATATTTGCCGTTGGTGTTGTGGAGATAGTGTTGGAAAATTGGCTAGTGATGAAGTGGGCAAAGCGGATGCTTTTGTTAAATAATGTTCTGCTAGATACCATAACAATTGATATGGAAGTAATTGAGGTTCTTGTAATGACTTCTGTGAAAATTGAGACGATGGTGTTTGTTGATACACATTAATTTGTGTAGGAGCTTGTGGAAGAGCTTGAGTAGGTACTATAGGTTGCGACAATTGACGTGCTGGAGCCAAATGTTCTGAGAGTGTTATTTGTTGAGGAACTGGCTGTTGAGACTGCTGAATCAATTGCTGTTGTGCAAATTGTTGTTGTAATTGATGTTGATAAAGTTGCTGTTGACTTTGTTGTTGTGAAATTTGAGGTTGAGCGTATTGATTTACTGGAGGAAGTTGTTGAGTCATATGATAAGAATTTTGTGACAAAGGAGCGGACATTGAGTTTTGGGGGCTCACAAAAGGAATTGATTCGTAACTCCTGTTATAAGGTGAAGGAGAATACTCCATATATCCATATTGAGCTTGCGGTTGTTGATAATAGTTTTGTTGCTGACCGTGAATTCGGGCTTGTTGCTGAGTTTGATATATGAACTGTTGTTGTAAATACTCTGGTTGCTGCTGTTGCTGTTGCTGTTGTTGGTATTGCCATTGGGCCGATTGCGGTTGTTGATTAGGCCATGCCTGATAATTTGAAGGATAATGATTTCGTGACATAAAAAAATTTTTTATCTTTGTAACTATTAAATTCTTTGTTTTGTATTTAACTCAAAATCTTTTAAAATTTATATAGCAAGTGTAGCACATACAAAGATTTCAACCAATAAGATTGACCATTAAAATGCTCGCGTAAAAATCGCGCGTATCAGATGCAATAAGCAAATACTTATAGTAATTATAAAAAATTATATAAATATATTTTAAAAATGTGAAACGAGGTTTTCTTAAATTCTTTAAGGAGAGACCATTTCATTGGCTCAATTTCACGTGATGATCATGTTGATCAAGAATAAAATAAAGGTGATAGATTCAAATAACTGATAATTCGTTAAGAGGATTTATTCATTAAAAAATGGTAATTATTCCTGAATTTAAAAATATTGAAGTAAAACAACAAATTAAATTTGATTATTTAATGCTTTAAATTAGCCGCAAAACGAATATATTGAAGAATCCATTAAAAAACATGGACGAAGATTGGATTACGAAGAGCGCAAGTAATGTAATTTTTTTTTTTTTTGATAATTCTTGAATTTTTGAATTTTTAAGTAATAAAACGGTTGATTATATTTAATGAATTAAGGCGAAAGAGGGAGGCACGTGAAGCTCATAGCACTTCAGCTTTTGCACAAAAAGTTCATGGTATAAGAGCAAAATTATATAATAAGAAGCGACATGCAGAAAAGATAGAAATGAAGAAGAAGTAAGTTTATTTGTAATCAATTAATTTTTTATCTAAGATTTAAAAGATTTACGTTTAATAATTTTTTTTTTTTGATTATAAATTAAGGATAAAACAACATCAAGAGAAATCAACTAAACAAAAAGATGATCAAGCAGTACCTGAAGGAGCAATACCAGCATATTTATTAGATCGTGAAGGACAAAAAAGAGCCAAAATATTGTCAAATATGATAAAACAAAAACGTAAAGAAAAAGCTGGCAAATGGAATGTACCCTTACCTAAAGTTAGGGGCATCGCTGAAGATGAAATGTTTAAAGTTGTTAAAACTGGAAAAAATAGAAGTAAGTTATTCTTTTTTTATAAATTGTTTAAATTAAGATAAGATTATTTTATTGATTTAAAATTTTGTTTTATTGACATATAGCCAAACAATGGAAACGTATGATCACAAAAGCGACTTTTGTTGGAGATGGTTTTACTCGTAAACCACCAAAATATGAGAGATTTATTAGACCCATGGCATTACGTTATAAAAAAGCTCATGTTACACATCCAGAGCTGGGAGCCACTTTTTGTTTACCAATCATTGGTGTAAAGAAAAATCCTCAAAGTCCTCTTTATACTCAGTTGGGTGTACTTACTAAAGGTACCGTCATTGAAGTTAATGTTTCCGAATTAGGTCTTGTTACAACTTCTGGTAAAGTTGTTTGGGGTAAATATGCACAAGGTACGTAGCATATAAAAATTATATATATATTTTTTCCTATATTTATACTAACTTTTTACTTAATTAAAAGTGACAAATAATCCCGAAAATGATGGGTGTGTTAATGCAGTTTTGCTTGTTTAAGAATTTGAAATAAAAATTTATGAATATAATCAATAATATTATAATAAATAAATAAATTTTTTAATGTGTTTAAATCTCAAAATAATAATTCATTTATTTTTTATCCAGTACTAATCGTATTATTTATATTATTTATATCCTCTTCAAAATCTTCATTTTCTTTAACAGATTTATTTTTATCACCATACTTTTCTTTAGTTCTTTTCTTTTTTTTCGATTGTTTTTTTCTAACTTTTTCTTTTTTTAAATTATATTTACTCAATTCACCATTAAAATAATTATCTAATTTTTCTATTAAAATTTTTCTTGCTATATTTCTATTTTGTTGTAATGATCTTGTTTTTTGACACTGTACAAAAGAACAATTATCAAATTAGTACCTACATAAACTAAATATAAGGAGTATTAAAAAAATTTTTTTTAACCTGAACTCTTATTCCCGTTGGAATATGTTTTAAATCCACACAATTTGAAGTAGTATTTATTTTTTGACCACCATTACCTGAACCCTTTACAAATGATTCTATCAAATCTTGTTCGTTTAATTCAATTTCAATTCTTTGTTTTTTACTTTTGTTATTTTCTTTGATAACATTTGTTGGCTCTACTATAGAATTATCAATAATTGATTCATCAGAAAATAATGAATTACTTGTAAATAAACTCTTTTTTAAAATTAATTGATTTTGTAATTTTGTTGTATTAAATTCTTGAAATAATTTATAACGAAATATATGAGTTTTATATCTTAAATTATAAATAATAATGGGTTGACGTAGTTGTAAATTGTGAAGAAGAGAACGCGTTATTAATGACATTATTAAAATTGAAATTATCGGGCTCGATTGGCTAGCCTCAAATGTTACTACTTTGTGATAGTTTCGTGTCACATTTTGACCAATGGAATTTCCAATGATTTGATTGGCCAAAGGGTTTGAGCTTTATTTGCATTAATATTTATTGTACGATGTTAAAAGTGGTTCATAATAAAAAAAAAAAGAAGTATAGAAAACTGTCTTTTGACATGCGAATTATGCGTATCTGTTGATTTACTTAGTCATATCAAAGTCTCGATACTTAATTTCGTCGAATCTAATTCCACAAATCATAATTCTACAGATCATTTACGTCTTTCGAGACCGCTTTTCGGTTGACTTATTATCGCCAACCGTGATAATCTTGCGTTTTTGACGTATTAGCTTTTTGGGGTTAACAAATAAGGAATAGATGTTATGCATAAGTAACGTAATCAGTAAATGATAAATTGAAACATGAGTATAAAAGTAAACTTACTGTACTAGTAGAAGCATGTAAACGCGAATTTGCTGTACCTTCAGGTAACTTTTGTACACTCGATACAATAGCGGTAGTTCTACCACCTACGGTTTCAAATATGATTTGTTCTCCATTCGGCATAAATGCCCCATTCTTATTTCTCTTATTCCATCTATAATGAAATAGCCAACTGTTAGGAAATAATCGCGCTTCAGCATTTACATCAACAGCTGTCTTACAAACATAAACTAATTTCTCATGCAGCGTTTCAATTTGTTCTTTGCTGAGAGTATTTGCGTGCTGATTGGGATGAATATGTGATTGGAACAATACTTCGTCCGCAACCCAATTACCAACCCCTGCAGAAAATTGTTGATCTAACAATAAAGCTTTGATCGGGCATTTTCGCTTCAAAATCAATTCACTGAATTTCTGAATATTAGGCATGCTCTGCAGAGGATCAAATCCTAATTTTGATATAGGAACATCTTGTAATGGTGAGTTGATAGTAAGAAATACTCTTGCTAATCTACGTACATCAGAAAATGCCATCATAATTTTTTCAGTATATACATTAGACGAGTCTTCGAATGTAAGAATGAATTTCCAAAATTTAGGAGGCCATTCATTTGGATCATTTTTGGATCGTTTACTACGATAAGAAAATGTCTCTTGATCCTTAAACTATGAGGAAAATTTATACTATAATAAATAAATTAGGCCAATATGATTAAAAATAAAACAATACATACATAGATATCTCCAGTCATTCCGAAATGAAAGACGGGGTTTGGACTTTCATTCATTTCTAATAATTGACAAAATATAAATCAAGATACGCGCCATTAATCAAAACGAACAAATTTTACTTACCAAAATAGAAATATTTTCCCCAGCGACCAGTATTTACAACAAACTTATTTAATAAACTACGTTCGAATTCACCCTTCGAAATATTGCCAAAAATTAACTTGTCTTCTTGCTTAAAAGTATTAAAAAAAAGAGTTTGAAAATATTTGTTACATCAATAAATAAATAAAATAAACTTGATCATACCGCTTCAACTTTAACAATTTTTTTTCCAACTACATTTGCGTTACAAGCCCTCTCGGCACGGTGAACTTCTGGAAGCTCAGGCATTTTTGTTATAAAATAAAGAATAAAAGATGCATCACAGATACTCATGTGATTATGATAAAATTTCCGAACCATCACATGACTTTTATATGAAGAATTAATTACAGTATTTATTATACAGCTTTCAAGCTTTCACATATTATTAATTCATTTATATAAATGGTCCACATTAAATTATTGTACTGATTTTAATATAAAAAATTGGTTTTATAGATATTTTTTTTTTTTTTTTTTTTATAAAAAAAAAAACCTATAATTTCTATATTATACTAATATTTTAACAATTCGGGAAAATTAATTTGATACACAACAGTACGAAATATAAAGTATACAAATATATGAAAATAAAAAAGAACATAAAGGTTTTATATCTCACCCAAACTAACATTCACATTGTTAGATGATTCATTATTTTGTTCTTTTAAAAGTTACCCCAATTTTTTTTAAAAAAAAAAAAAAAAAATAAAGTTAGTTTTGAATATTGATTATAATGTATACTCTATTATTGTGATATATAAAATAAAATAAATGGTGTATTAATACATGAATCAAAGTTTTATTTGATTCATTGAATTATAACACTCATTTTTGGTTATTTTTTACCATTATATGCCTTTTTACCAATATCAAATGGAACATAACTATTTAGAAAACAAACAAACAAAAAAGTTAATAAAATATAAAATTTTCTCTTTGTAAACTCTTAAATAAAAAAAACTTACTTGTATTTCCTCATATGCTTTATCTGTCGTTTCATTGTAATAGCAAAAAGAATACAGAAATATATAAGAAGAATCGGCCAAAAAACTGGTATGTCAAAGAATGGGAAAAAGGTGCAAAATAAAGATATAACAATAGCTTTCGTTGAGGAATACCTATAAAAATTCAATTAAAAAGGAATTAAGACAATTGAAAATATTTTCTCACGTATAAATATTTCATATCATAAAAATAATAATTTATACCAAAATTTGAATTCGGGTAATCTTCGAATAAAAGGCTTAAATTCTTCGTCAGCCTGAGTGGGTAGTGAGGGTCCCTCTTCTCCCTCGTTTTCTGTAATATCCATTTCTAATGACGGATCAAATTTAGGTTGTAGAAAAGCGAGGAAAAGATTAAGAAGATAAATCCCCAACGCCTAATAAATTGAATAAAATGATTTAATATAATTCGGTTTCAAATTTACATTTATCAAAAGATCACTTTAAGAGCAACACAATGAAAGTGTAAAACTTACATAAGTTACTATGTAAAAACCTTGTAATATGAAAATGCGTAGCATGAATAATCCCAATATGACAACAGTGCCAATCCATCTATACGCATAATATGGAGTTACTTCATCTAAAAATTTTTGATACCGCTATTTCAGGGAAAAAAAGAGTTAAAATAAGTATTAATAATTTATTTTTAAAAAGAAAATTCATAGTATACATACTTTATCAAAAGCTGCTTTATAAGCCCAAACATTAGATCCATTTGATTCTGCTGAATCAAGAGAGCTTGACGTTGACATCATTGAAGTCTTATTTTTTTCAATATAGTAAATCAAAGTCGTTTTATATCAATTTATCCGTAGATCGTGTCACGTAGATGTCAAGTGATTTTTATATAAATTTCGGTCAATGTAAAAAGTTAAAGTCCGTGATCAAGCCGTGACACATGTCTAACTAATTCATGTGCTTGCGTGTCTGCCATGTTTTTTTTCTTCACTTTCACTTATTAGTAAATGATTTAATGTAAACATAAATATTTATTATATATATAAATAAAGTAAAATCTATTTATAAATAAATCCGCAGCGAAATTATCAGTGCGGAGGATTATTTTTAGGGAAATAAAATGCTATGGGAATTCTCAACTAAATAGGCTAGTGCTTTTCTAGAATTTGTTTAGTTAAGATTTTACATAATTGATAATCGTGTATGATTGGGCGTTAACTTTTTATATTTAATGAAAAGTGGGGAAAATCGAGTTTTTTCCAAACATTATTAGCATATTATATTTTAGGATTATAAGTTTATAATAAATATTTATGGTAAATCAAAGTAATTTTTTTTTTTTTAAGAAAAAGATTTTTTTTTTATATTTCCTTTTATAATTTCCAAATGGGATGCTTTAACTTGACATTTTTATTTATAAAATATCAATATTTTGTAACTAATTGTAGTTTCTTTTTTGGATGTATTTTTGGTAATGCTTTGCGTATTGATAGGTATTTGCATAAATTAACATTATATACATTATCTACAATATATATTAATCAAGCTTAATTCCGATGTCAATCCAATTTTATTTCCCGATGTCCAATAACTCGTCCGTAATGTATTATGGCTTAGGATTATAAAAAAAAAAAAATCATTTATATCAAAATAAACCGTGTTTGGAAAATTTCCGAATAGGTACACGAATAATCCATTTCTTACTGGTTTTCAATCTCTTTTTTTCTTTTTGTAGAAGTCTGTGAAACAATCAAGTTGCATTGTGTCGCGAAGATTAACTAGTTTGACGGTTTTTCAAAAATGAATCTTATTTTGATTGTGTAATGCAATTCACTGAAAAAAAAAACTACTAATTTTTAATTTATATTAAATTCCAGTCCACCAAAATAGAATTCTCCTGACTCATCATAATTAAAAGGTTAAAAAAAACTTAACACCATTCACATATACCAGTTAAAGAATTTAAGTTTTAATCTATATAAATTAAAGATTAAATTTTATAGCCGGAAAATTTTTCCGATTTCAAAAAAAAAAATATTCCGGAAGATTTACTAGACACCGGAAATCTATCTATACGCCAAAAAGTATTTTGCGCCCTGATGGCCACATACATATTTTAATCTTCTTTCACTACATATTTCGCTTTTTTTTTTTTTTCGTGTGAGACCATAAGAGTTTAAGTAACCTTCATGGTACACACAAAATTCTGAATTCACCACTCATCGCTTATTTTTGAAGTTTTTGTTTATTAAAAAAAAAAAGGATCTCCTTTAGTCATCTCAGTTTATTTATCAAAATGAAAGCGGATTCTTCAATTAAACAACGTTGCAAACAACGTTACAGACTACGTCAATTCCAAGGAACACCTCGTTCACAGCATAATAATAACAATAGTAATAGTAGTAGGAATATTTCACGAGACTTGTCCACGTCGACTGATGTCATTTTATCTCCAATAGGTTCTTCAGTATCACAATTAACTCCCTTATCACAAAAAGAAAATACAACTTTATTATCTCTTCCAGCTGAATTAATTACTCGAATTTCATATAACCTTACTTTACCAGAATATTCACGTTTTTCACGAACATGTAAATACCTTGGCAATCATTTTCAAAAAGAACTTATCTTATTTCTTAGATATGTCTATGGGCTTTCTGTTAAGTCGGGCTCCTTAGTTCTATATGCATATGGAGCTCATTTACAATATCGTGCACCAAAATTACTCGATCGAATTTTAGATGAGTTTTTTGTTGATGCTAATGATGCTCCAAACTCTGGACCTAATAATAATAAAGTTTCACCGACTTCGCGTCAAACAAACTCACGATGGCCTACATATTGGTCAGTTTTATATTCACTTGATAAAGCACCTAATATAGATCCACCTGTTATTAATACTAATACTTCAGGAATAGGTTCTTGTTGTAATGAATGTTATTTTCAACCAAATCAGAACATGCCATGTTATAAGTGTGCTTCAACTCAATATCAAGGTTCAGAGTTAATGACGAATCCAAATCCGAAATTGCAATTCCTTCAAAAATATGCTGCAAGAATGAATGCAAAATTTGCGGGTCGTTCTGGAAGATCTGTACCGGGTGAAAGATCACATAATAATAGTCGTCGAAATGAATGGCTCATCACTGACGTGAGACTTAAAAAAACATATAATATGTTGATAATGCAAAACATTCGTTATGGTGATGTCACTCTTTTAAGATTTTATCTTGACAAATATGGTGCACCTATCAATGCACAAGTGACATTTTCACAAGAGGTTGGCTATTGATTTTAATATTATAATTTCACGAAAGAAATAATTTTTTATCTTTATTTTTGCATGTTCAATCATCCTTAACATATCATTAATAATTCTCGTTATCATATTTAGGAACAAGTATACCTTGGAGCTGACAGTGAATTAATGAAATTATTAGATGAATACCGCATACGCGTTGTTCTAACCCCTTGATTCTAATAGGGTATCGAATACTTATTATTTTATTATTATTATTATCATTATTATTATCATTATTATATCATTATTTACTTTTTATTGTTTATTTGCATTATCTTTATTTTATTTTAAAAACTTGAACTTTATTAACAATTTATTTTTATTTTATTTGGTTCGCTTTACTTATCTCAGCATTAAGTATTTATCTATAGAACCTTCCTCTCTTGATATCTATTTCTTTATATTACCACATAGAACTTTATAACCTATTCAAGTTTCTTTCCTTTTGACAAATTGTACAAAACCCAAAAAAAAATTTTAATTCAAAGAGATATTTTTTCTCTGCTTACAATATGAAGATTTATTTTAATATTAAATAGTTATTAGCTGATTAAATATAAAATCCATAGTATTATATAATATTTCAAAAATTATTTATTATTATTAATGAATGTATATAGGATTGGTTTCTTTTTAACAATTTTAACAATTTCCTTAATAAATATATTTTAATGCCATATTTATTTTCGAAATCATTCAATTAATAAAATAAAAAGAAAAAAATAAAAGAAAAAAAAAAAGTTTTTTAATATACTTTCTTTCTTTACGAATTTGTACGTAAATTTCGTAACTATCTCAATCTTCAATTTTTTCTTACAGTTCGGAGCGTAGCGAAGGTATGACGTGCTTTGCTGGTCATTGAATTGCTGCGTTGCTGCGTTGCTGCGTGAAAAATCTATTATCCAATCAAGTTGATAATTACAAATTAATTTTGGGCGGGCGTTATAACGTTAGATCAAATTAAGGCATAGTTATACCATATTTGTCATATTATAGTGATGAATAGACACCGGATTTTAAAAAATTTTGTATTATTCCGACATTTTACTATATAAGGCTCCCAAAATTCCACAAAACTAAAATAAAAAACTTTCTTTCATAAAGGTACTACTTTTTTGCAAGCAAGCGCGAAAAAACAAATTTTTTGTCAACATGCCCAAAAATAAAGGAAAAGTGAGTGAATAACTTTGGAAATTATATCCATTAAAACTTGATTTAACAAATTTGATCGCTTTTTAGGGAGGAAAAAATAGACGAAGGGGTAAGAACGAAAACGAATCTGAAAAAAGAGAATTGATCTTTAAGGAGGATGGTCAAGGTAATTTTAAATACTAGTAATTTTTATTATTTGGAGGAAATTAATTACTTTTCTAATTTAATACCTTTCAATTTTTCTAATCTCAATAATAGAATATGCACAAGTGGTAAAAATGTTAGGTAATGGTCGTTTAGAAGCTCAATGCTTTGATGGCGAGAAACGCTTAGCACATATCCGTGGAAAACTACGGAAAAAGGTAAAGGAGTTTACCAATATGATATTTTTTTTATCTAATATCTTTTTATTAATACTTTTATCTCAAGGTATGGATCAATCAAGGAGATATTATTTTGATTTCTCTTCGTGATTATCAAGACGCCAAAGCCGACGTTATTTTAAAATATACAACTGAAGAAGCCAGAAATTTAAAAACATATGGCGAATTACCGGAAAATGGTATAATGATTATCTTTTCGGAATCTTTGAGTTCTTACTTATATAATTATTTACAACCTTTTTTGTTTTTATTAGCTAAAATTAATGAAACCGACACTTTTGGTCAAGAAGATGGTGATGTCGATTTCGATATTGATGAGGTATTTCCCTTAACTTTTTTTAGTTAAAATTTACGCATTTTTTGTTAAATTGCTAATTTTTGAATCTCTCTTTTTTTTTAGATCTGAAAAGTTTATAATTAAATACATTTAAAAAAATAATATAAAAAATTTCATGTCAAATTAGATAATTAAAAAACAATTTTTTTATTGTATCAGTAATAATATAAATAAATTTCTCATTATAATTAAGAATTCCAATTATTATGGTATTATGTGATTAATACAATGTTAGATAAAATAATTTACTGACTTTTTCCATTTCATTATTCAACTTCACATGTATTATAGAGAAAATATATATATATTTTTTAGGAAATGAATAATAAAAAATGATACTTTTTGTTAACTTTACCAGTAATGCAAAAGAAAAAATATAAAAATTTTAAAATGAACTACTAAATTATTAATTAAAACTGCTGAATTTACTAATACATTTTTTAACCACTAATATTTATATTCAAATAATTGTAAAATATCGATAATCTCTTTATCTCTTTATTGCTAAACAAATAATTGCAAATCTTTTTAACTTTATTTTTTTTTTATTCTAATTTAATTGAAAGTTCTAGGTTCTAATCTATTAAATTACTATAGTATATATTACTAAATATTGTGCAAAGCGTTTTTATTTTTTTAAAATTACAAACATATTGCTATTAACTAATGTTATTATTAATCAAATTCCAGTGGTAAATATCTTAGAAATTAATTATATTGTTAGATAAATGTGAATTATCCATTTATTTCAATGAATATAATAAACCATTAATTATTCATTATAATTTATTTTTATGTGAAATTATGTGCATTGTATATCTATTTTTTTCAATAAAAGTGAAAATAATTAAGAAAGTTAAACATTATTCTAAAAATACAATAAAAAAAATATTTAAAAAAAAAAATTTTAATGTCTAATTTACAAATTTGAGAGATTAATGTAATTAGTATTCTAATTATGAATGAGAAAATGAAATGTTCATAAATCTAAAATAGTTATAAATAAAATTGTCCGGAAATGTTCAAGGAAAATAAATTAATCAAATACGAAACTTTAGTATTTTAAATTGGTTCTTCCCTTATTAATTCCATATTTGTTATCTTTTTGTAAGATTTTTTTTTTTTTTTTTTCCAAAAGAAAGAAATTAAAGTTAAATAAAAGAAATTAACTCAACAAATGTTCAATAATTCACAAATAAAGCCCACCCCTGATCATTATGAAACTTACTATAAGATAAAAGTTATAATACACAGTAATTACAGGTTAGTCCAGTTTCATAAATTATAACCAACTACAACTTTGAAATTAATCTGTGCCTTCTTTGAAGTCTTCCTCACTGTAAGTTGGATTTGTTAGGAGCAATTTTCGAAGGTATTTAAGCCATTTCTTGAACAAAGTTTCATTGATATTTAGTTACAGTATTATCATCATCACTAGAAATTCCAGAAATCGAATGAATTTGATCTTTAGAATCACTGGTGCTATCGTAAAGATTTCGAGGTTTTGGTAAATCGGGAAAGTTCAAAAGACGGCTTTTATAAAAAGATTCTGGATGCGGTTTCTTGAAGGGTTCTAGCTGAGAACCGAGGTGTTCTAATAATCGCAATCTTTCTTTCTCAGCAGAAATAAATTGATCAGATACGCTATGTTTCTGTGACATTCCCATATGCCAGCCCCATGACATCAAGGATTTTTCCAACTCTCTAATATCTGGACGTTCTTTAGGGTCTGCATTCCAGCATTTTTCCATAAGCTCGACATAGCATTGTGGAGTTTCCATTATTATTGATGGTCGAAGCCCATTACATATTTCCCGTGCGAGTTCCGCATTATGTGGACGATCATAAAATGGCTTCTGCCCTGATGCAATTTCCCACATAATTATACTAAAACTATATACGTCAGAGGCCTCAGTATATTCTTCACCACGTAAAACTTCGGGGGCCACATAAGCTAAAACTCCATATACGTCATCGTAATTTTGTTTGTTTGCAGGTCTATATTGTCCCAAATCTGTAATATAAGTTAAGAATTGTGATCCATTAAAATGTCTTAGTATATTACCGGTGTGAAAGTTTCTATGAATTAAACCAGCGTTATGAATTGTCATTAGTCCGTGTGCAATGTTATAAACAATCCCCAGCTTTTTTTCCCATGTAATATCTATGAAATTTTTCTTGAGATGATGCCTCAAATCTCCATCCACTAATTCGAGCACTAATACATAATCTTTTGTAGATGGGCATCTACTAAATCCATAACAACGAGGAATATACTTATTTTGTTTGTATCGATGACGGTCGAGCTAAAAATAAAAATATTTATAATTTTTTTCTTATTCAAAATTATTTAAGGATATAATTTAACATACCTCATTCCAAAATTCTGCATTCGCATTATTAGAATTATGCAAACGTTTAAGAACAACCTGTTTTTCACCCTCACGCACCCAATAACGTCTTGAATCATCCCAATACAATTTAGGCCCAAGATCCCAAGTTGCCTTGTATACAACACCGAAACCACCTCGATCTATTTCTTTGATATTTTCAAATTTATCATAAGGTATCCATTCTAAAAACATTAGAGGACCTGTTGTATTTAATTGAGAATGTCTAATTATATTATCAAGGTCATTGTTTCCACTTGTCCAATTATGAAAATCTTCTTTAAATCGTTTTATTTCGCATGGCTGACACCATCCACGTTGTGTATGTTGTTGTTTACATGCTGGACAAATTTTAGTAGGTAAAGGATCTATTTCTGTTAATTCACGGGGTAAATGTTTGCTGGAATGGCAACCCATTTAAACAAACAATTTTCAATAATTGGAAAAATAAACTTTATATTTATTATTATTAAAGAGCTAGCCCGGCTTACTAGCGTTTGAAAAGGCGGAACGAACAGATTAAATACAAGAATTATAATAAAAATGAAACATTAATGAAGGGAAATTTACAAAAAAAAAATAATTGAAAGGAACATTAAATTGAGATAGACAATTTATACTTGGTTCAGACTAGCCAAAATACCAAATAGAGAAAGATTCACAGCAGGATATTTCCATACATATTCAAATATTTCATATATTTCACAACATTTATTTTTGGATATTTTTCTAACCTTATATTAGTGTTTTTTCATTTAGAGCTTTATACGAATAAAACTATAAATATTTAAATTTTAAACTAAAGTATTTGCGGTAAAGTCATAACCATTAACCTATTGTTGGACAAAGAACCATTTTTTTCTTATAACGTTGATTTTCTTTTTCTTTTTTTTTTCAATAAGGAGTTGTCGGAGTTAACCAGGATACTTTTGTCCAAATTTAGTAGAATAAAATAATTGTTCATTATTTGATTAAATGCGGGTTTGCCGACGAAACATAAATGAGTATCTCAATTTAAGTAAAAGTGGCAAAAAAATTTTCATCTATTAAAATAAACCATGCGTTGAATGCGTATATTTACATCTCGCAGCAAATTATAAGAAAGTAGAAATAAATTTTTTACGCCGCAAAAAAATCACCCTTAATAATATAATACAGTGAAACTTTAAATTAATAATTTATCAATTCCGCCCAATTTTGTGATATTCAATTGATAAGCCTATTTTGGGTACAATCATTAACATATCTAGCTACTACAATTAACGTCAGTTATAAATTCTAATAATTATTAGGTATTTGATTTTTGATATTTAGGTATGTACAACGAAAAAATCACGTGATAATATTGTGTAAGACTCGTGTTGCTTGGAGTTGACGGAAAAATTTCCTTTTCCGGTGAGGAGCAATTTTACAATTCCTTATTTAGAAACAGATAAAATATTTTATCTAAATCAGAAACACGAATTAATTATAAATTTCTCACGAGAGCAAAAAAGATTTTACATATTTTCTTTTTCTTTTTTAAAAGTTGAATATAGTTTGTAATTTCATAATGGATATCCGTAATTATTTCTCCGCACCAAACGCGAATAAAAAGCTAGGAAAAAAGACTACTACAAAAAAGGGGAGTTCCAAGCGTAGGATCCAGGATTCTGACGACGAACTCGGTGATCATAAGGCCTCTAGAACTTCTACTTCACAAGAAAATTCTGCTTCAAAATCTAATACTTCTACTCCAACACGTCAATCAACTCGGCTTAACCGAAAAAACACCAAAGTTGATGAGCCAACAACTAAGAAAGAACGGGAGCGTTCTGATACACCAAAATCTAATAAGGAAGATGATTTTGTGACGATGAAAATTGACGATGAAACATCTCCTCCTCAAAGCACCTCAGAAAACCCAGAAATATTTACTACTCCTAGGCGATCAAGAAAAACCACAGAAGTAACGCCAAAAGCAGTAACCAAAAAACGCTCAAAAAAGATTGATGATGATGACGATTTTGTATTAGAAGAAGAATCAAAATCACAGTCACCCCCCAAGAAAACGAAACGTGAACAAAAAGAAGCAGCATATAAACCTTCTAGTAATCGTGCTATTAAAACGCCCCGATCAAAAAGATTGAATATGGAAGATGAAGATGATGAAAAGGGTATCGTTCAAGATAACTCGGAGATCGGTACCACATCGATAAAAGTTGAAGACAATGATTCACCTGATATCATAGTAGATCGGTCTAATTTGAATAAAGCTGATCCAACGACTCCAGAATCAAAAGAAATACCTCAAGGTGAAGAAATGTGCTTATATGGTAAAACCTTTGTTTTTACTGGCGATTTATCTATGGACCGTGAAGAAGCTCAAGATCTTGTTAAACGTCATGGAGGGCGTGTTACTTCACAGCCTAGTTCTAAAACTTCATATGTTATAGTCGGACAAGATCCAGGACCGAAGAAAATGGAAAAAGTTAAACAATTTAAAATTAAAACTTTAAACGAGGATCAGCTTTTAGAGTTGATTAGAACTTCTCCCAGGAAATCTGATGTTGATATAAATAAATCTCAAAAATCAAAAACTTCTAAGTCCAAAGCTCCTATTACAAAAATTTCTGATGCAATTACTGCAGTCGCTTCACCTGCCTCATCTAAGGCCTCCGAAACTGTCGCACAATTGTGGACAGAAAAGTATCGACCTAAACTTTTCAGGGATTTTTGTGGTAATCAAAATCTCGTAAAAGATATGGAAAAATGGCTTGGCGTATGGGATAAAAAAGGTTTCAAATTTAAGAACAAAGAATGGATGGCTGCATTGTTAATTGCTGGTTCTCCCGGAATCGGAAAGACATCATCTGTTCATCTTGTTGCAAATACTCAAGGGTACGATGTGATTGAGCTTAATGCTAGTGACACTCGAAGCAAAAAACAATTGGATACTGTTATCAAAGTAGCAACAAAAAATACGTCTATTACTGGTTTTTTCCAACCATTCAATGATAAATCTTCAAGTAAGGAGCATGCAAATGAGGCACAAAAAAAGAAAACACTTATCTTAATGGATGAAATCGATGGTATGTCTGCTGGTGACAAGGGTGGTATCGCTGAACTAATTCAATTAATCAAGAAAACAAAAGTACCCATAATTTGCATCTGCAATGACATTAATGCTCAAAAACTCAAATCATTAAGGCCTTATTGTCATGAGTTGAAGTTCAGCAAACCTCGGGTTGAACAAGTCAGATCAAGAATTATGACAATTGCAACGAGGGAGAATTTACAGATTCAATCAACGGACGTAGACGAACTCATTAGAGGAGCTAATTCCGATATTCGTCAAATTTTAAACTTGCTATCCACATGGAAGATTAATCATGATAGTATTAATTATGATGAAATAAAGGGTTTAAACAAAAATAATGAGAAACATCTTAAAAAAAATATCTTTGAAATAGCTAAAGATTTTTTGGGCAATGATATCTGGAAATCTCGTAAGAATACTTTTAATGATAAAATGAAACTTTATTTCCAAGAACACGATCTAGCTCCTTTAATGATTTTTGAAAATTATATAAAAATGAAACCTCACACTATTCCTAAGTTTGTTAAAGAATATGATAATGGAGATATAAAACCAGATACTTTAGAAAAACTTGCATCTCTGGAAGCTTTTGTAAAAGCCGCTGATGCCATGTCTTGCGGAGATATGGTTAATAAAAGAATTCATGGACCACAACAAGAATGGAATCTTATGCCAATCCATGGATTCTTTTCTACTATTGCGCCTGCATATTACGTTCATGGTTATAGTAAAGGAGGTCAATTTGGTCAATATAAATTTCCAAGCTGGCTAGGACAAAATTCTAAAGCAATCAAGATTCACCGTCAATTGAAAGAAATTCAAAGTCACATGCGAACTAAAATTTCCGCTGATAGAAGTGAAGTTCGCGAAAGTTACATTCCTACTCTTCGAAAAGCTCTCATTAAACCTTTGGTTGACCAAAAAACTGAAGGTGTGAATGATACCATTAAAATTATGGATCAATACATGATAACCAAAGAACAATTCGATGTTATCATGGAATTTAAGGATGATCAAACACACTATAAACCTTCTGAAATCGCCAGCGGCTTAAAGTCTACCTTTACAAAGAAGTAAGTATTGGGATTATTATACAAATCTCAAACATTTTATCCTATATTAATAATTGATATACTCCTTTTTTTTTTGTTAAAACAGATATAATGCCAGTTCACACCCTCTTCCCTTCTTAAATATATCGAGCGTGATTACAACTAAGTCCAGGCCTGTTATAACTGCTGATATGGATGATTTTATTGAAGAGGAAGTAGTTCCTGATGACGACGACGTAATTGATGATGATGATGATCTTGCAAAGGATCGCCTCATTATCCAACCTTCCGTAGGTCGTGGAGGTGGTCGTGGAGGTGGTCGAGGTGGTCGTGGAGGTAATCGTGGAGGTAATCGTGGAGGTAATCGTGGAGAACGTGGTGCGAGTCGTAGAAGTCGTGGCCGCGGCGGCCGCAAATAAGCCAGCAATTTACATTTTGATTTTTTCCGGTTAAAAACTTTTTGTAAATACTAATTATTGAATAATGGATAATGGATTAGTGGACACGTGATTTAAGAGTATAAATTGGATAATTCACTTTTACGAAATAAAAACTTTTAACCAAATTTATAACACTATCTTACTCGTTATATTAAATTGATTAATAACATAACCGCGACTAATAAAAATTTACAATAATTGTATCAAAGGAATTTACTTAATGCAAGCTCGTTAGGGTGTAAAAGTTTATTGTCATTTTGGCTTGTAAATAAATTGGATTCAATATAAGTGAAGATTTGAATGTACTATCGATAACTGATGCCTTTTTTTATTCGAAATTAAAACACTAGGTGGTTTGTTCTTTCTGCTTTGAAAATTGAGTTTAATTTCTATTATTGCGCTCTGTAATAGCAAATACAAAATACAGCAAGTATAAATAAAATAAAAAGTTATATCGTACGTAAATCAATCAGATGTTATTTACCAATTATTTAGCTCTGATCTTCGAATTTTTGATGTATTTTCACAATATTCGCTTTACAAAGCGAATCTTAGTGGCTAAATTATCATTCGACAATAGCAAAATTAGTCTGTTGTTATTGCGTGTCCAGAAAAGAAGCTTTTTTTATATTAACCTGGATCGAACCTCGCCTACGGAAGTTATGGAAAGTTCCGATATTATAGAAGATACTACGCTCGTATCAAAAAAACCATTAGACAGTGTAATTCCAGAATCAGTAAAGCCTGAAGATGGAACTCAGTATAGGCTGCGAATTAAAAATGTACCGAAATTCGCATCATCTAAAATGATGAAAGAATTATTGGCGAAGAATGGATGTGAACAGGTTAAAATACAAAAAGCTCCAAAATGGGATTATTGTTTTGCAACTTTAAAAACGGAAGAACAACAATATTATGTATTGAATAAATTAAAAGGAATTAAATTCAAAAATAGAGAATTATCTATACAAGTAGATAATGTTACGGAAAAAGATAGACAGGCATTATTTGATAGACGAAAAAATGAAAAACAGCAAAATATCGAACAATCTGGTATACAAAAATCACCGGAAGAAATGCTAGCGGATCAAGTAACACCTTTACATATTTATGAGTATCAAGCTCAATTGGAAATTAAACAAAGAGGGATTATAAAATCCCTTGAGACATTCCGCGATAAAATGGATGAGTTATATAATAAAAGTCAATATCATTCTTCATGGCTACAAGAAGAGTTTGATTTCAAGCTTCCTTTAGATCTTAAACCAATGATACATTCGCCAGTATTGAAAGGGTATAGAAATAAATGTGAGTTCACCGCAGGATTAAATCTGAAAGGAGAAAAAACAGTCGGATTTTTATTAGGAGCCTATAAAGATGGTCATAATTCTGTTCTTGAACCAGATAATTCAATCCATGTTAGTGATATAGCAAAAAAGATCGCGAAAGCCATGCAAAATTATATACGACAATCTTTATATGACGTATATGATCGTAAGACAAAACAGGGCAATTGGCGCCAAATAACTGTTAGGTCACAAAACTGTGGCAATATAATGATTATAATACAAATACATCCTCAAGGTTTAAGTAAAGAACAAATTGACCAAGAAAAGAGTGCTCTTGCTGAATATTTCAAAATGTTTGCTAAAGAAGAAAATTTTGATTTAACGTCTTTGTTAGTACAAATATACAGTGGTGTAAGCAATGGTATGTCAGAAGATCCACTTGATTGCATATTTGGCACGCCATTTATTCATGAAGAGATGATGAATTGTAGATTTCGAATTTCTCCCAGAGCATTTTTTCAAACGAACACTGCAGCAGCAGAGTTGTTATATCAACAATGTGGAGATATCATTAAAGAAATATATGATCCAAAAGATTTCTCGGAGTCACCAACATTGATAGATGTGTGCTGTGGAACAGGAACTATCGGAATTGCTCTATCAAAAAGTCTTGGAACTACAATTAAAGAGGTTGTTGGAATAGAGCTTTGTGAGGAGGCTGTAGAGGACGCTAAAATAAATGCCTCTCTGAATGAGATAAATAATGCCGAATACATTCTTGGACCTGTTGAGAAGAATTTATTTGCATTACATAATTTCAGTAACAAAACTTCTGGAACTGCTGTAGCAATCATAGATCCTCCACGTGCGGGAGTTCACAAGAATGTTATTAAAGCACTTCGTAAATGTCGTGCAATTGATCATTTTATTTATATTTCATGCGATCATAACGCAGCTATTCAGAATTTTGTAGACATTTGTCGCCCCATAAATAAGGATTTTCATGGAGTACCATTTAAACCTGTTAAAGCTATTGGGGTGGATCTCTTTCCACATGCCAAACACGTAGAATTAATAATCGAGTTTCGTAGAAATAGAGAGGACTCTGAAAAAATTAAATCAGATCAATTAACAGATGTACCTAGTACATCAGCATTAAAGGATGGGTCCGGTACATCCGTATCTCGAGATATCGAAACAAAAGAGTAATTTTCAGTTGGTTAACTTGTAAAATTTATCAATATATATATATGTTATAATTATTTACCAAGGATTGATTATTTTAATTTGTATTAATTTAATTAATACTAGTATTAATTATAATTTTAATTAAACAACTAATTTTTACAAATCTCTCTTATACAATAATTAATATAAAGATTTTATTCTATATTAAATTAACTAACAAAGGCGAACAAATAAAATATGAATTATATTAAATATTAAAGAACTGTAATACTATCTGCAGTTAAACCATCAATTATACCTAGACCCCAATTCGTTATTATTCTAGCACATTGTTGTTTAACATGATTTGCTTTGGGTGTATTCCATTCGCCCATTGAATCTAATATTTTTGCGTAATGAATACATGCCTCTCGAAAGAATTTAGTATACATTCGATCTTTAATGGTTTTCTATAAAAGGCAAAATAATGAATCACAAAAACTATATAAATAATAATCACAAATTTAATATACGAACCTCCCATTTAGATTCTATAGGTTTAAGAAGATATGAATGTCGATTATAATGATATTCTATTAAAAACGCTTCAGGTATTACCCATAATTCTGACCCACTTATATACATTTGGAGCAAGCATGCCGCTTTGCTGTTCTCAAAATTATCAAATCTTTCGGTACACCTAAAAAGAGATCACCGTTATTATTTAATAATTAAGTTACAAAAAATGAATATTTTCTAAATTTACCATGGAAGCTCTCTTCCTCGCCTTACAACAAAATTCGGTTGATAATGCATTTCGTAATCGGATACATTATATACCTTTTTTTTCAACCAATTTTCATAACTTGTTGGACCTTTATTAAGCGACCAACCACTATCTTTTAATCCCATATATTTCCGTTTAGCTAATTTTGTTAATTCTTCAATTGAACGCGGAAAATCATTACTTGTATGGCTTGTGGAAAGCTCAGTAAAAACAAATGTAGGTAAAACAAGAATATCATTTTGCAAAAGAATTTCTTTATGCTTTCTAAGTATTTTTCGTGCACGTTGTGTTGGCCATGTATCTTGATCTAAAAATAATACAAATTCTGAACGAGCAAAAAATCTTGCAATATTGAAATGAAAATTAGTAGGCCGTGGTAATATTGTAACATTATTGATAGATACTGGACCCGCTAAAAGATGAATATCAACATTTTGTTTAAGAATTGCATTTCTTTTATATAGATCGTTATATGTTGCGAGAATATTTACAATTCTCGGATCCTTGTCATCAAGTGTTTCCGTTGGCACATGAAGAACCGCTGACACAGGACCTATAAAATATATCATTTAATTAATTTAAGAATAATTGGTAAGGGCACTGTCAGATATTACCTAATATTAATATAAGAGCTTACCCCCCCCAGGTAAGATATGTTATATATATAATTCCTCATATAGTATTGTATATAACCTAAGATCTTTAGTTACCCCCCCTCCCCTTAAAATATTAGGTAATATCTGACAGCACCCTAATTGTATTTACAATCGAAGATAATTACCTTGCCAAGCTTCGGCTAGTCTTATTAAATCGTCAAAACCTTGTTGAGATACAAAAGTAGTGACAGTTATGTCGTCTAATTCAGGTGTACGCTCTGCACGATAATAATAAGGGTATAGACTATCGGTAAATAACTTTGAAGTTTTAGAATGCATTTTAGAAAATCTATATAAATTATTCATTTCAGATAACGGAGAAATCTGATTTGTGTCTATCGATTTAGAGAAAAGAGTTAGTTATTTTGATATTTGGATCACATCAATAATTTCAATATTTAACTACTTACCATATGTTCTCGATATGGGATGTAAAATTTTAGATCTTCCAAAATAAAATCCTCTAAATAAATGTGTGAAGGAGAAAATCGCAGAGAATGTGATAAAAGATATCACAATTATTCTGACGAGCCTTGTTGTTATTAGCCATGATAAAAATGTTTTCGGTGTAAGCCTTGGCGAGTTGGTTGAACTAAAAATTGGCAACATCGCAATAGGCTGGTCTAAGCACTAAAATAAAACCGAAGCTTTTAAATAGCATTCATGATTTAACTTCTTCTGCGTCATCTGATTATTTGCCGAGTAAATGTTGTGGAACAAAATTCAAATTAACCTTACCAACTAAGTGTAAATTCGGAAAATTTCTCTGTAAATTCAAATTAATGATATTTAAAACAGTTGATTTAGAATTTACGTAGGCAACTTTCTTTTGCTTGGAAAGCCACATTCTTTGTGAGCCGGTTTTTTTGTAAACTGTTCACATAACGATTTTCGAGTCTCTTAATTAAAAAAGCAATATATCTCCTTTTTTAAAAAAACTTGTTCTTTCTTAATTAGATTTTTTAAATCATGTCTTCTTACAGAGTGAACGCGAGCTCCTCACGTACGATTTGCAGGTTTTTTGCTAACGGACATTGTAGAAATGGGCCAAATTGCCATTACTTGCACACACGAGAAGGAAACAGTCCACGCAATAGAAATAGCGATGGCGATGAACAAAACAGCTATAATACTGGAGGAAGTTCTTCTTCGACGTTACACAAGTCGAATTCTAATTCGAACTATCGTAGATCAAATAATAGTAATAATAGAGTTCCACCCGAAAGTTTACTTGTTTGCAAGTATTTCTTGGAAGATCGTTGTATGTTTGGAGATTCATGCTGGTATAAACATGAAAAATCTAATAACACTAAAGGAATTGATACCGTTGATAGTAATGAAAATGACTTAAAAAGTCAAAAAGACAAACAAAAAGCAAAGGAGGTTGTTGTCGAAGACGAATATACGTGCGCTATTTGTTATGATACTCCTAAAACGTTTGGGTTGCTTATACATTGCGATCATATATTTTGTCGAGATTGTATACAAGTATGGCGTAAAACAAGCAACGTTTCAAGCCCTTTTCAAGATGTTGATACCACTAAAACATGTCCCGTATGCAGAAAAAATTCTCCATATGTTGTTCCATCTAGTCGTTTTGCTAAAGCTGGGCCTCAAAAAGAGCAAATCATTTCAACATACAAGGAAAAAATATCTCAAATCCCTTGTAAATATTTTGAAGGGAGTGGAAAATGTCCTTTCGCTGATGAGTGTTTTTACCAGCATGCTAATCCTGATGGATCAAGATGTAAGTTAGGACCTCCTAAAAAAAAAAAGCCAAGATCATTTATTAGATATTTTTCCGCTGACGGAGATTTAGATTTATCCGCTATCTCTGAAATTATCGATGGATTTCAGTTTAATATTGCTGATTGGGACGATGAAGATGAAGGTTCTTGGGACGATGACGACGATGATGAGGAAATCTATTTCCAACATCATGGTTCAACAGATTGGGCTTCAAATTCAAATGGGTGGAGTTGGGGGATTGAAACAAACAATGTAATAGAACACGATGAAGATTGCCCACCGGATTGGCGCAACATTTATTGAACTCTGCAAGAGTCAACAAATGTTTATTATCTTGCACTAATCTTAAGATTATATAAACCGTATAAACCGGCAATATGCGGGTATAGTTTTATCTTTTTTTTCTTCTTTTCTTCTTATATAGTATAAATAAATTATTATGAATAAAATTCTTTCTTTTCATTGTTAATAAAAATGGATATTTATTATATTTAATATTTTCTAAATAAATTAAATTAATTCTCACTTATATAATGCATATAATAATTTTCATTGGTTGTTGACGCTTGATAATCATAATGACACGAACTACAGTATTATCATATACACTCAAAATTGGGCATTTGTTAGTTAAATATGACAACAAAAAAGAGGAGAAGAAGGAGAAAAAGTTCTACAAATAATGTACAGCATGTTGAAGAGCCAGCCACAAAAAAACCAAGATTGAACTCACAAGAGGAGGATCCAACTTCACAACTATGCACGAAAGCACAAGTGGAATTGACGTCGAATTCAAAAGGAATAATAAATGACACACGCGTATTAGAAATAAGCGGTCAAGAAAGCTTTCACTTAGGTTCGCATTTTGATACGCAAACCGTTTCTGATAGGGTTAAAGCAACAACTGTATCCTCTTCATTATATACAAATGGAAACACGAGAAGTCATTCTGCTAAAAAATATACGATTACAGAAAAAGATTTAATCTATTTGGCTCAGATTAAGGAAAATAAGATAGATGAAAATAAGCGTACGAGTGGTCGTCCTGTTATTACCTTTTCAATTTCTGATAACAATCTTACTAATTTGGAATTAATTCAAAGTAAAGAGAATGGTGAAATCACTGAGAATTTCAGTAAAGAACAAATCGATAATTTAAAAGGAAACGGACAGGTTGAGAATTTCCGATTTGAGGATTCAGTTATTGAAATAATACCCGAGAATATTAAAGTAGAAAATGAAAGTTCCATTCAAATTGGAAATAATGAAGTAAATGAAGTAAATGGAGGAATTGAGAGCAAAACAGGCTGTGTTGAGAATTTCAAAGAGCATGATCAAAATATACAAAATAGCTATATTGAGAATTCCGATGAGCATGAGGATTCTATAAATAATGAACATTTCGAAATTTCTAAAAAAGACAACAATTTATCTAAACAATTCCTCAGGCACACAAATTCAAAACATCTTCGACCTGGATTGGAAAAGTATAAACATTTAATCTTCTCTTTATGAGGTGAATTTTTAATCATTTCTTTCTCCATACTATTCTTTATAGATATTGGCATCAACGTTACTTATTTTTTTCATTATATGATGAAGGTATTATGATGGATGAAGGTATGAAGAATTCCAATAATTAATTTTTTAGTGAATCTGTGTAGAAATTAATACATAATTTATATGTATAGAGGGATGGTATTCAGTCACACCGGAATATTTAGCAGCATATATTGCCAAAAGATGTGCTTGTGATACAATAATTGATGCTATGTGCGGTGTAGGAGGGAATGCAATTCAATTTGCGATGACATGTAAAAAAGGTAAGCTCAAGTTTGTCAATGAAATAGAATATATGTTTACTTCTTTATATTAATTTTAATTTGTGTATAGTAATTGCGATTGATATAGACGAGACTAAGTTATATTGTGCTAAAAATAATGCCAGGATATATGGAGTAGAGGATAAGATAGAATTCATACTGGGAGATTTTTATAATTTAGTACCTCGCCTAAAGGTTCATATTTTTTTATGTTATATTATTTTATGTTATAAAAAATTTAATCTCTTTATTTTCTTTTAATAGGCTGATGTGGTGTTTCTGAGTCCACCTTGGGGAGGTCCATCTTATCGTAGGTCAAAAGTTTATGATATTAAAACAATGATATCAGTAGACGGGTAAATAAACATATTAATTTTCCATTATAGTTTTTGATAATTAATATTTAAAATTAAAATTATTTAGAGAAAGATTGTTCCGAGAATCTAGTAAGATCACAAAAAACATTGTATATTACGTACCCAAATCTATAAATTTCAATCAGGTAAGATAAAGTGATTAAAACATCTTGGTTTCTATTTAAAATTGTATTTATTAACTACATATATTATAAAAAGATGCAAATGTTATGCGAGCCTGATAAAATTTGCGAATTTCAAAAAGTAATTGTTTGGGATAAAACTAAGTCGTATTTAGTATATTATGGAGACTTAGTAGGTAATTATTTCAGTGAGGTGATCAAACTTCCAAGATATTGGGTTAATGATACTTCTGCTGATTATAATCAATCTGAAGAAACTGAATATTAGGAATATAAATAAGGAATGAGAAAATTGAAAATTAATTATTGCATCTGATTGATGCTTTATTAATAAAAATATCTTAAAGACAGAATAAATCAGAAATAGTTTAGCTAAGATTAAAATGTTATAGTTTTTATTAAAAAAATGTCACAGGTATGCTTTAGATGACTTTGTTTTGACTCCTATAGTCCTATTAAATAAACAACTAACTTACATTTTAATGTCTTATTTAAAATAGTAATGGTATTTCTGTTATATATAGAACAATAAATTTTGGATTTAATCTTGACAGAAAATTAAATTTTCTAATGTAATTTTTTTAAAATCCAATGTACATTTATTTAACTTTATTTCTTTTATTAATTTATTAATTTTCAAAAGTAAGCCATTTAGATTTTTTTTAAAAACCATTTAAATATTTTTAATAATAATTATATATTAAAATCATTGAAAATTATTACTTTAATAATATCAGTAAATTAATTAACTATATTATACTATATAAATTTTCAAATAATTAATTTAAAAGATATTAAAGATTAATGAAAGAATATTTAAAATTGCAAAAACACACCTATTAGGAAATGTGTTAAAATGATTTGAGAATGAAGGAATGTGCATTGCAGATTGGAATAAAAATGAAATCAAAGAGTTGAGGTTAAAATATAAAATAATTGAAAAATATTTGTTAACAGAAGGAATTAAAGATGATGAAAATGAAATAAAAGAAACAGTAGAAAAGATAAGAAAGATATTAAATAAATTGAATATTGTGATAAAAGAAAATGATATAATTAGAATAATAAATTTTGGATTCACAAAGCATGTACTAGGGATAAAATTTATGAATATCAGGGATCAAGATTGTGAACCGTTAAGTCAACTAATGGAAATTATACAAGATATTAAAAAAAGAAATAACAAATGCAAAGTTTGTGGTAAAAAGGGTCATTATTATATTGAAGAATATTCAGATAATCGAAGTGAAGAGAATATGAATAAGCATATGTAGAAATAATCAGAATATATAAACGAATAGAATATAGAAGTTTGAATAATAGGAATTAAAGGACAAATAATTGTCTGAAAAGATGTTAAACTAATCGTAAAAGAATAAATGAAGTTAAAGAATATTAAGTTATAAATAATAAAACATCATGTAATAGTAGGATGTAATAATAAGATATAATAGAATGTTATAAAACATAATGAGATGCAATAAAAAGAAATAATATAATAAAAGGATTAATAAAAAAAATTATGAAATTGTGTTAATAAATAAAAATTAATATGAGTATTAAATATAAATAAAGTGAAAATACAAAATGCGACCATTTTTCGCAAAATAAATAAATAAAATAATTTAAAAATGGCTGATATATATGATGAATTAGAAGAGGTTAAAAATAGATATGAAATAGAAAAATATGATGAGCTAAGAGAAGAATATCAAATAGATCTTTCATATCTAAAGTGTTATAATACTAATAAAATGGAGATAAATGATTGGTTTAAGAAATTTTGGAAGATTTTCCAGAAAGTAATATTGGAGGCAATGGGTTATAATCGAAATACATATATAAAATTATTAAAGTATATAACACTAATAAGAAAAGATAGAGAAGAGAAATATTCATTTAGTAAAAAGAAAAGAAATAAAGAGCTGAGTTTGAGAAAATAAAAAAGGAATGAGAAAAATTATTAGACGTAATTGTAGTATCAATCAGATATAGGAATAAATCAGATTATAGAAAAATAGGAATTATATCAGTAATACAGTCCGGGATATTTCCAAAATTGGATTGTGTAACAGATCACGTTCTGGAATGATTCTAGAATGATCGGCAATTATAATTCCATCATATTAACATGATTTGGTGAAAGAATTTCTCACGACATATTCTTTGAAACTGCAAAACGTAATTATAAAAATACGTCATAAAAGGTATGTATTTTCATAATCAGTGAATATTTTTTCATAATCAACTCTCTTTCAAAAAAGTATGAAGACCATAAAATGACTATAAAATGACATATTTTCAATTTAAATTAATTTTTTTTGAGTTTCATTGCCATTTTTTTTTTTTTTTTTATTTTAACTTTTTTCTTAATTTTATTGTAGTGACAATGTGCAAAAAAGCATACGATAAAGAGCTGCCTTGTCTTTTCACAATTTAGTAATCACATATGAGTGAAAAGGTTTGAAAATATGTGAGACAAAACCATCGACATGCTGATACTAAGGCAGTAGTTAGCCGTCTCCTTCTTCATCATACTTTTATCTCAGAACTTATACCTTCAAACATCTTTGGAATAATATTCTTTATGTGAAAAACATTATAATTAAATTATTTTTTTAAAGTAATTGGATATAATGACATTCAAGCAAATTCTCCAAGAACTCATCCTAAATCAATTACAGAATGTCAAAGATTTTGGGGTTATTTAAGAAAGCTTAATTTTCTTAATCCAATGAAGACAAAAACAGATTTTAAAAATATAGGTGGAGAGAGTAAATTGAGTGACCAGTTGAAAAATTTTAGTAATTTGGCAAAAAAGGCATGACAAGAATATATTATTGATTTATTGAAGTGTTTTACAAAAAGTTCAGTTCCTTCATTTCGGCCTATTCCAATCAACAAGAAGCAATGGTGCAGGCAGATGAATCCAACATGACACGAATAGAGATTTTGCGTAAAGTAGAATCTCTTTTAGAACAAATGAGTGAATGGAATAGGATTTAAAAAGAAAAGTGAATTGCTAACCATATTACAAGAGGTACGAAATTTGCAGAATGTATGAATTAGATGATATAGATGTAGTTTAGGCGAAAAAAATATATTTTTCAAATACAGAAATAAATTAGAAAAAAATAATAAAATTATTTAAGTTTTATCATTTCGAACGATCAAAGTATCAAATATACGATGCTAAAATTAATCAATAAAATTGCGTCAGTCATAGAATATTCTGATCAACATTCTTTGATCGGCATATACAAAAATGGTAAGATCGCTACCAATCAAAATGCTTAAAAATGATTCCATTTATGGTAAAATCCCAGACTGTAATAAATAAAAGTAATTTGTGAACATTATATATTTGATTGGGATGATAATTTAATATTAAATAATAAAATAGAAGAGAATTTACTAGGAAATAGAGAATTGTTAGAGTACAAGTACATTATAGAAGACGATGAACAAGATATAAGGTTTGCAAAATTTGAAGAATAGTTAGAAAAAATAGAATCAGTAACTATTGAAAAGAAAAGATATAATACTATGAGATATTTTAAAGAAATATTACATTTAAAAAAAAGTGTAGTAAAAGAGGAAAATAGAAAGAAAATTAGAAAATTTCAGAAAAGTATAACATACAAATGGTGGAATAAGAATAAATATTCAAAACCATAGATAGATAACGATTTAACAAATAAAATAGTAGAAAAAATTGTTGACACAAAAGGTTTTGTTAAAAAATATAGTGATATAGGAAAACTGAAAAGTTCAGATGATGTAAAAGAATCAAGTTCGAATGATGGAGATAAACACATAAAAAAAATATATATAAATTATTGGTTGGAAAATGGTTATGAAATTGATACTGAAGAAATAAGATGAATAACAAATCTTGGAGTAGAATATGAAATAATGAAAACTAAAGATTTTATGAAAAAATATTTGACCATCAAAAAATAATGAAGAAATAATTGAACAATTTAAAGTTTGGTATAGTTGAAATGTAATAGAATATCCACTATGCAATAAAATAACCTTAACAAAAGAAGCAGTAGAATATGATAAAGAATTTGAAGGAACAGTATGTAAAAGTTATTTTAAAAGAGAAGAAAGGAACGATAGTAAAACAAAATCAAGAATAGAGAAAATACAAAAAATATGTAAAATAGTAGAAATTAAAATAACAGAAGAAGAATATTAAATATGAAATATACAGATAAAGAAATTTTAAGTTGAGGATTTATAAAGTTATTTCAGAAAAATAAAAATGAATTAGAAGGAGTTATAAAAGAAATATTAGATGAATATTTAAGAAAACAAACGAAAATAGAAGAAAATGATGGAGAAGAGGATAATACAGATGATTCAGAAAAGATTGGAGAAATATTAAGCTCAAGAGAATATGAAATGTGGGATAAAAATGATGTCAAGGATATTGATGAAGATGAACTTGAAAACAAAATTGAAAATATTATAAATACAGAAAGTTTTAACTTAAGTCAAGATTCAGATTCGAATAATTTATTAAATATTAAAGACTCTAATAATGAAAAAGATTCTAATAGTGAAAGTGAAAAATCTGATTCTAATAATGAAAGTGAAGTATCTGATTACAATTTACAAGAATTATTTTAAAAAAATATAATAAATATAATAACTGAAGGTCAAGTAAAAAAGTTAATGAAAAACGCTTTAGAATTAGCACTCAATGCATTAAATAATCTGTTAGGAGCAGAAGTTAATATAGTAGCAAGAATAGAAACACAGGAAATATCGCAGGAGGAACTATTAGTTTACCGTTATTTTATGAAAAAGAAGAAAAAGATGTAAGTGATTGGGTTGGACAATTTAAAGTAGCATTTACTGCAATAGGAAAAGCACCAGAAGCGAATTGTACAAGACAGGTAGTATATGCAGTAACATGTTTAAGAGGAGCAGCAGCATAATGGTATAATGAAATGAAGGAACTGAATACCGGTAATGGAGTTCCAAACAGGTTGATCAAATTCAGGTAACCTGACAGGTTGACCTGAAATTTTCAGGTCAGGTTTAGCAATTGCAATTCAGCATCAGTTCAGGTTGCAACATCAGTATAACCTGAATGACCTGTTGACCTGAAACTATGATTTTATATAATAAGTAAGTTATGGTATTATAATTCACTTTTTATATTGATTTTATATAATAAAAGTGAATTGCGATATTGGGATTCACTTTTTTATATTGATTTTATATATAAAAAGTGAATTGCGGTGTCAGATTCACTTTTTTATATCGATTTTATATATAAAAAATGAATTGCGGTATCGGTATTCACTTTTTTATATCAATTTTATATATAAACAATGAATTGCGGTATCGGGATTCACTTTTTTATATTGATTTTATATATAAAAAGTGAATTGCGGTATCGGTATTCACTTTTTTATATTGATTTTATATTTAAAAAGTTAGTTGCAGTATTGCGATTCACCTTTTTATACGATTTTAATATAAACAATATTTCA